CCTGTTTTTAAGGGTTCGTGTGATTAGACTGTGTCACCTGGATGATCCCAGAAATGCCCTCCTCTTAAGTCTGTATTCTTTATTAACATCTTCAAAGTTATTTTGCCATGTAACATAAGAAATTCAGTTCTTGGGAATTAGGGCATCAGCATCTTTAAGTGGGGTTATTCTGCCCATATATATTTCTTACCTTGTTAGAAAGGAAGCCCTCAGAACAATCAGTAAATTTTGAAATAAGTAAATAATTATGTAATATCTGTAAGGTAAAAGATGCTTCATTAGATATGGCACCTGTATGCACTGCTCAGCCTGTGTAGCAGCCCTGACCTACAGGACTTCAACAAAGTCTTGGATGTGTCCATTTAACTAGGCGGCTGGGATGCCTGTTGGAGTCTTGGCTTATATAGTTACCTTCCACTCTGGTGATGTTTCCTAACACAACTTGCCAAATTATTAATACACAGCTAGTAAATGGCAGACTTTTTGCATAAGAGCAGAAGAGAAATAGGGGGAATCAACAACAGCAGTGAATTAACAAGTAGTTCTTAGAATCTAATGACATTTGCTGGACATGACTTACGTTTCTGTTTTACAGGTGATAAAACTAGGGTCCAGTGCAGGGATGCGACTTCCCCAAAGTCTCAGAGCTACACAGCTAGTAAATAGTGGACTCGGTTTCTGAGCCCAGGTGTCTGTATACTATACTACTCCCCTTCTGTTGGTCATTGGAACTAAAATTGTTTAGTGATTCTTTCAATTTTCATTGTATTGAAACCAGATTTTAGAGCTTTTGAATCTTCTTTTAAAATCAGAACATAATCTTATACATATCTTAGCTTTTTTAAATAGATAATGTGATTTTTGATGTTCTTTTATTTTTTTCCATTTCAAAATAAAAGATGGGCTAGCATAATATTTATTTCATTGATTGCTTCCCTTCTTTATTTTCTTAACCTCATTAATAATATAGATTCATTTCTGTTGTCTGCTCTAAGCTGTTAGAAACTTACCTTTTACAAAGCTCTGTACAAGAAGGAAACTATATGTGACTAACCCTGGGGATCTAGGAATTCTTTACTTTGAGCTTTAGCACCACTTTTCATTTTTTTGAAGTCTAGCTGCTAATTGTTTCACCTTGTGGCATTAATGCTATCGGAGCAGTGCAGTTTCCAATTTTTACCTGCCTTTTACACTCAGGAGAATTAAAAGCAGCAGTATCTCATTCTAAGAAGTGGGCTCCCCAGATTTTCTGGGCTGAGAAAATAAAACCTAAAGGGGTAAAGAGAATAGTAAAATAACTTTCATTTCAGCATCTAAATTAGATGGCTTAACTCCTTTCCCACACTTGGAAAAACGTATCTGTTCAATCTTAGGTGAAAGGTAGTGCACTTTCCATTGGAGCATTTGCTTTGTATTTGTCACTTTTAAAGCATTTTTTTTTTTTTTTTTTGTAATTTTGCTGTAAGAATGTTGCAGTTAGCATCTGTTTTGTCAATGTACTGTAATGGAGCCCACTAATGTTCTACATCCCTCCTCTTTCACAGAGTACGATTTTGGAAGCAAAGTAATTTTCAGTGATCTGAAAGGCTGTTTGATATATAAAAGGAATTACCAGAATGACTAACATAACCATTCTTATTTTTCCTATCCTCAAAATGGTACTCCTGCCCCCTCCTACACCCCCATGTTTCCCAGGATGTGCTGAGTTTTCTCTCTACTCTGGAAAATGCTGAGAGAAAGAGAAACTAAATATGTGGAGCAGAGAAAAAACTTATCTGAATATTCTTCAAAACACTTTCCTTGTAGTCCTTCAAATTTAAATTTTCTTAAAGTATTTACTGTTATGTAAAAGATGTAAACTTTTTTGATTCTTTTGTAAATATTAAATTTAGAGTATTGTCTTATCCAATGTTAGGACTAAATAAGAAGTAAAAAATTCACTGATTTCTCAGGAACTAAGGATAAGCCTTTTAAGCCTTCATTTATTCATTCATTAAGTTAGTTGTTGTTGTTGTTGTTGTTTTTTGAGACATAGTCTTGCTCTGTTGCTCAGGCTGAAGTGCAGTGGTGTGGTCTCAGCTTACTGCAACCTCTGCCTCCTGGGTTCAAGTATTCCTCCTGCCTCAGCCTCCTCAGTAGCTGGGATTACAGGCATGCCCTACCACACCTGGCTAATTTTCATATTTTTAGTAGAGACAGGGTTTCACCATGTTGGCCAGTCTGGTCTTGAACTCCTGACCTCAGGCAGTCTGTCTCCTTGGTCTCCCAAAGTGCTGTGATTACAGGCGTGAGCCACTGTGCCTGGCCTCATTCAATTAGTTGAGAAGCTACTGTGTCCTAGACACTATTGACCACTGTGTAAACAGTGTCACTTTCTAGTATCTCATTCTAAGAAGTGGGCTACCCAAATTTTCTGATTTTTTGATTTTTATACAGTCAGTCATTTTAAAAAGAAATTTAGAAAACAAGAAAAAATATTTTATATTTACCTATTTACCATTTTTGATCTTTCCTTTTGGCGATATGAGTTTCTCTATAATATCATCTTCATATCACCTTTATTTTTGAAGGGTAGTTTTGATGGATATGAGATTCAGGATTAACAAGCTTTTATCTTTCCGTACCTTAAAAATGTAACTCCATCGTCTTCTAGCTTACATTATTTCTGATCAGAATACAATGAAAATTTTTATTTATGTTTATGTATTTTTATTGTTTATTTTTACATTTGGCTGCTATTAATCTATATATCACTGGTTTTCAATTACTGATTTTTTTATTTTTTTGAGATGGAGTTTTGCTCTTGTTACCCAGGCTGGAGTGCAATGGCGTGATCTCGGCTCACCGCAACCTCCGCCTCCTGGGTTCAGGCAATTCTCCTGCCTCAGCCTCCTGAGTAGCTGGGATTACAGGCACATACCACCATGCCCAGCTAATTTTTTTGTATTTTTAGTAGAGACGGGGTTTCACCATGTTGACCAGGATGGTCTCGATCTCTTGACCTTGTGATCCCCCCACCTCGGCCTCCCAAAGTGCTGGGATTACAGGCTTGAGCCACCGCGCCTGGCCCCCAATTACTGATTTTGGTAATGTCTTGATATATTTTTTTTCCTGTTTATCCTGCTTGGGATTAGTTTAGCTTTCTGCATCTGTAAGTTATAGTTTTTACAAAATTTGGAATTCTTTTAGTCCTTATTTCAAGTACATTTTCTTCCTCTGTGACTCCAATTATATGTTTGTTAGAATGCTCGATACTGTTCCACAGGCAATGAGGTTCTACTGTTTTTTCTCCTCAGATTTTTTTCCTCATTTGTCCTTCAGTTTGGATAGTTAACATTGCTGTGCCTTCAGATTCATGGATCTTTTCTTCTGCAGCTAAGCTTATTTGTTCAATTTTTCATTTCAGATATTGTATTTTTCTGCTTTAGGAGTCGTATTTGTTTCTATTTTGTATTTTTCACTGTTTTCATCATACTAATATTTTCAGTGAAATCTTTAAATATATTTGTAATATCATTTAAAAGGCTATTTGTCAGTTAATTCTGTCTTCTCTGGGCCTATTAATGATTTTTCTCCTGGTGAGATTTCTGTGCTTTTCATGTGCAGTACTTTTTTATTGCTTGCTGTGAATGTTATGTTATTGTGAAGGGTCATTTTAAAGCTTTATTTCAGCAAGTCTTTAGTAGCCTTTGCTTTTTTGGGCCAATTTAATTCTTCTACAAAGGTTTTTTTTTTTTTTTTTTTTTTTTTTTTTTTGAGATGGAATCTCACTCTGTTGCCCAGGCTGGAGTGCAGTGGCAAGATCTTGATCATGGCAATCTCCGCCTCCTGCAGTTTAAGCAATTCTCTGCCCCAGCCTCCTGAGTAGCTGGGATTACAGGCATGTGCCACTACACCCAGCCTAATTTTTTATATTTTTAGAAGAGACTGGGTTTCACCATCTTGGCCAGACTGGTCTTGAATGCCTGACCTCATGATCCACCCGCCTTGGCCTCCCAAAGTGCTGGGATTACAGGAGTGAGCTGCTGCATCTGGCTGGCATTATTATTATCATTTTTTTTTCCTGAGCTCTCTACTAAAAGTCTTCAATGTTCAATGAAGCTGCTTAGAACTCACATGTCTCCTAGCCCTGTGTGATCTCTGGGAATTGTATCACTTAGAGCTCCCTGGTAGTTGTTCTTTGCCTGGCCTCATGGAATCTCACACTAAACATGTACAGCTTATTATTTGTCTAAAGCCTCAGTGAGACTCCATTCAGCTTTTTGGAGTTCTATTAATATCTCTGCATACTTTCCTCCTTGGAGGAGCTCTTAGAAACCTTAGTTTCCTCAACCTTCCCAAACTGATCTCTATCTTCTTAACTCAGCGTGAATGCCATTTTCTGCTTGGGTTCCTCCTCCTCATCCTACCATCTATAGTACCTTTAGAAAAAAATCTGGGGTATCTTAGGGCTTATTCATTCTCCTTTCAGAGATCACAGTCCTTCCCTGCCTGCTGTGCAGTATCTGTATATAATTGTAGCATATATCTTACTCAGGTTTCTTGATGTTTATAGCAGAAGGGTACGTTCATTATGTCTAGAGGCAGAAGTCCGTGCTAGTTTAATTTTAATTCTGATTTATTCTTATTCAAGTAGTACTTAGTTATGGGAATCCTGCCCAGAGTTACATTTTTAAGGTATGGAAAGATAAAAGCTTGTTAACCCTGAATTATACAAGGTGCAATAGGGGCAGGCCTCTGAGATTTGGGCTTTTGTATTGACTTGCCAAGCATACATTCCAAGTAAGTGCAGACCGAGCCATCCTAAATCACATTAGTAGCAAGACATATCAATTTTCTTAGGTTATTCTCTCATTACTTTAGAGTGAGTGAAGTTTTAAAAAAATACTTCAGTTTTTTTATGACCTCTTGAATCAGAACCCATTCTTATAAATCATGTTTTCCTTATGTGAAGTGATATAGCTGTATTGCTAATCAACTATGTCCTTTTAAAATTTCAGGAGCAGCATTTCTTGCTATTACAACTATATATGCTGAGACTGGGTCAGGTTTTGTAGTACCGAGTGCTTCTGCCAAAGCAGGCGTGGAAGCCATGAGCAAGTAAGTACCTCCTTGTCAACTCTGTTGCTGAACATAAATAATACAGTTTGGTGGCTCAGGGAACTAAATTGCTGCTTTCTGGTCTCCATCCAGAGAAAAGTAAAACAAAGACTTGGATTCACCTGAGACACAGATTTTATCTCCTAGATAAGTCCTGTTCATCTATAGCAGCACTGTCCTTTGGAACTTTCTGCAGTGATGGAAATGTTCTGTAAATATGCACTATCCAATAGCCACGCGTAGATATTGAACCCTTGGAATGTGGCCACTGTGACAGAGAAACTAAATTTAAAAAATTAATAGCTGTATATGGCTAGTGGCTAAGTATTAGACACCACAGGACTGTAGCTTTTTTTGTTTTCTCATAGATCTTTAGCAGTGCCATCCCTAAGCCCTCTCATTGGCACATCTTTGTTCTTTTATTGCACATACTGTATAAGATTAATAGTACTAACACAGACCATGAGCACTTGCCAGGTCCAGTGGCATTTTCTCAGCAGAGTATGACTGCTTTTTTTTTTTTTTTTTGGAGGGGACAGGGCTTCACTCTGTTACCCAAGTTGGAGTGCAGTGGTGCAATCACAGCTCATTGCAGCCTTAATTTCCCATACTCAAGCTATCCTTCTGCCTTAGCCTCCCAAGTAGCTGGGACTATAGCACCTGGCTAATTTTTAAAGTTTTTTTGCAGAGATGAGGTCTTGTTATGTTGCCCAGGCTAGTTTAGTACTCCTTACCTCAAGAACTCCTCCTGCCTCAGCCTCTCAAAGTGCTGGGCATGAGCCACCATACCCAGCCATGATTGCTTTTTGAATTTGTTCTCCATTGACCTTTTCCATTGTCTTTGATATAATGGGGGTTCTCATCATTTCGTGGCTTGGGTGGCTTACTGTAATCATGGCATATTTCTTTGCTAGCAGTCTCTTTCCCCTGTATTTTTATTCACATTTTCACTAGAATTATCTTTCTAAGAACATGTAAGTCTGCTCATGACATTCCCCAGCTAAAATTCAGATCATTTCCGGTCACTCTTTGGAATAAAAGCCAGAACTCACTACGGCATTCTAAACAGACTTGTCTCAGGCCATTGTTAATTAATTTATTTATTCAGTAAATATTTATCGTATGCCTTATGTGTGCTTGGTCCTAGGAATGTGATAGTGAAGGAAATAGAACAGTTCTCATTGTCAGCTGAGTTTAAATTTTTTTACTATTCCATTTATTTTTATGCTTTAATTTACATTGAACTGTTCCATATTTCCCTAAACTTACACTACATTTTCGTTTATCTATGCCTGACTTAATATTGTTGGAATTTTTCTGTGGTGTTTTGTGTACTTCCTTCGGGATATTTTCTCTTTAATCATTCCCTTCTCTCTGTGCCTTAAAAGTTTGTTTAATCCAATCTAGTGAGAGGGCAAACTTCTAATAAATAGATTCTAAAATGAAGATAAGATACCAATATAGCAGAGGCAGAGAGCAGGGCATGGCTGGCTTTTTCATAACATTAAGCAATCTGATGTCCCAATTTGAGTGTGAGTCTTGTGAGAGAAGGGACCATATGTTTGCATCCTTAGTACCTAGAAGGGCATGGTCCATAGGTGGTGCTCCATGCTTGTTGAGCTGAATTATTGTACTCTTCTTTTAATAGTCCCAGTGCATTTTAAAATATTTAAATCAGTAAATACACATTAGTTTGAGATAGAAATATTTATTCACAAGCTGAATCTTAGTCTGAATAGAGATAATTACCATTTTTTAAGGTCAGGTGGTGTTGGAAATAAAGGATGAGAACTTGACTATTTTGGCAGTATTTGTACAATGTCAATATTTGTTTTGTTGGGACTATTTTATCTTGTTAAAACTTTCCATCTCATGTCCTTTAAGAACTGATTTCGTGCTGCTTTTCTTTGTGTTCCTGCATATAATAGACGCTCAATAAACATGTGCCTTCTTTTACAGCTTGAGTTCCCATTGACCTTCCTCTTATACTTTATAGTACACAGTCATACTAAATAAGGCATTGTAGGCTCCCAAATTCTGCATGTTGTTTGGGCCTTCGCCTTTTACCTATACTGACCCATATGCCTTGGCTGTTTTCCTTTCTCCATTTGTGTTAGTCTGTTCTCACACTGCTATGAAGAAGTTTCTGAGACTGGGTAATTTATAAAGAAAAGAGGTTTAATTGACTCACAGTTATGCATGGCAAAGGAGGCCTCAGGAAACTTACAATTACAGTGGAAGGCTCCTCTTCACAGGGCAGCAGGAAAGGGAATGAGTGCCAGGTGAAGGGGGCCCCTTATAAAACTATTAGATCTTGTGAGAACTGACTCACTATCACGAGAACAGCATGGAAAAAACTGCTTCCATCACTCAGTTGTCTCTGCGTGGTCTCACCCTTGACATGTGGGGATTATTACAATTCAGGGTGAGATTTGAGTGGGGACACAGAGCCAAATCATATTACAATCCTACCTTCTTAATTTCTCATCTCCTTCTCCTTTCCTCTGCCTCTTGCAGTAAACTCCTATTACTTCACCCACCAACTCAAATGTTACCTCTTCAGAGAAGCCTTCCCTGTCACTCCCACTTAGGTTCTTCCTATAAGCAGGTATGGCTCACATCACAGAATTCCTAGCCTAGTAACTAGTTCATTATATAACCAAGCCCACCTCTCTTGAGAGGAAAAGACTGCTCTTTTGAGAGCAGGGATTGATTTTATTTGAGGCTAAACAATATTTATAATTTTGACACATAGCAAGTGTATGATAAACATTTGTTGAATGAACAATAATAATGGCTAACATATTGAATATATTGTTCTTAGCATTTAAACACGCAGAGCTAACTGTATGAGGTGGATTCATTATCAAATTACAATAGTTCTTCAGTTTATCAGCTAGCCTAATGATAGTTGAAAGAGCATGAGCAACTGAACGAATGTATCTGGCATACCTCTGAGTAGAGAGAGGATGGCTTTTCCTCTAGGCAGATTTTCTTAACAGGTTGCTCAGTTTTTCATAGGATAGTATAGACTCTGCTCAGTACAGTCGTTCTATTAAGACATGAAGCAACTTAGAGTAGATACATTATAAATAAATGCCCAGAGTAGCTATGGCAATGAACTTTGTCAAAAACATCACTCAGAGAAGCAATTTTTATGTATGTTTTGTCTGCAAGAAATACAGCCCACCCATTTCACTAAAATGCATTCATGGATTAAGTCAGATTAATAGGCTATCCTTAGGTTACTTGTACCCTATTCTGTAGAACTGGTTTTACCGAACTTGCCTTTAAAATGATGCTGTAAGACTATATTAATGGATATGTGAGTTTTATAGAACTTAGCCTTTTTTTTTTTTTAAAATTATACTTTAAGTTCTGGGATACATGTACAGAATGTGCAGGTTTGTTACATAGGTATACATGTGCCATGGCGGTTTGCTGCACCCATTAACCCATCATCTACATTAGGTATTTCTCCTAATGCTGTTCCTCCCCTAACCCCTCAGCCCTTGACAGGCCTTGTGTGTGATGGTCCCCTCCCCGTGTTCATTTGTTTTTATTGTTCAACTCCCACTTATAAGTGAGAACATGCAGTGTTTGGTTTTCTGTTCCTGTATTAGTTTGCTGAGAATGATGGTTTCCAGTTTCATCCATGTCCCTGCAAAGGACATGAACACATCCTTTCTTAGGGCTGCATAGTATTGCATGGTGTATATGTGCCACTATTTTTTAAAAATCTAATCTAGTTGATGGGCATTTGGGTCGGTTCCAAGTCTTTGCTATTGTGAACAGTGCTGCTATAAACATATGTGTGCATGTAACTTTATAGTAGAATGATTTATAATCCTTTGGGTATATACCTATTAATTGGATTGCTGAGTCAAATATTATTTCTGGTTCTAGATCTTTGAGGAATCACCTCACTGTCTTCCACAATGGTTGAACTAATTTACATTCCCACCAACAGAGTGAAAGAGTTCCTAGTTTATCCACATCCTCACCAGTATCTGTTGTTTCTTGACTTTTTAATGATCGCCATTCTAACTGGTGTGAGATGGTATCTTATTGTAATTTTGATTTGGATTTCTCTAATGATCAGTGATGATGAGCTTTTTTTCATATGTTTGTTGGCTGCATAAATGTCTTCTTTTGAGAAGTGTCTGTTCATATCCTTCACCCACTTGTGATGGGATTGTTTTTTCTTGTAAATTTGTTTAAGTTCTTTGTAGATTCTGGATATTAGCCCTTTGTCAGATGGATAGATTATAAAACTTTTCTTCCATTCTTTAGGTTACTTGTTCACTCTGATGATTGTTTCTTTTGCTGTATAGAAGTTCCCATTTATCAACTTTGAACTTAGCTCATTTTATGTATTGCAAGGGATACAGTGTTTTAAGGAGATTGTTACACCACAATTTTTCTTTTGTAAGTCTAGGAAGACTTAAACAATTTTTCATATTAGAAACAATTGTGCTTTTCCTGAGCAATTAGCTTGTTCTTTCTTTATGGGTACTGTGGATTGTGTAACTGATTAGGCTTGCCTTTTTTTGTATAGAGTCATAGAGTAGATTCAAATTTGTGATGTGACTATTGCAGTTTTATGGAACTTCACACACTTCAATACATTGAGATATTAGCTTCATTCTTGGCTTCTTTATATTTCCTAATCCTGGCATTTCTCTCTTTATCTGGCTTTTTTTCTTTCCTTCTTTCTTTCAAATTATTATATCTTTCTCATTTGCATTCTTTTAAGCTACCTTGTCATTTAGAAAAATTATAATAACTGTATACACACAAATATACATATAAATGTAAATTCTTAAAATAAATTTAGATTTGAAAAGAGCTATCTGTCAAGTAAGCTTTTAAAGCAAGTTCCTTTGAAGTTCTTTATTTTCTATTAGTGTTATAATTTGCTTTAGGACATTAAGCAAGATTTTGTTAGATTCCTATTTCCTTTCAAGTTTAGTTCAACAATTATATTAAAGCCTAGTTAGACATGGATGTGGTTAATATTTTCAATCGATGTAATCTTTTACTCAAATAAAGCATTTGTGATGTTACAGACATTGTAATCCAACATACAGGCCTATTAGTAAAGTGATAATGAGCTCTGTAACTACAAGACTAAACTCCAGAAAATGTGAGGGAAGGGCATGAAGCACTCATGTTTTTATGTGAGTAATGAATACTCTAAAAATGTATATTGACATTGGACTTAATGTTCTTTTTTTTGTTGTTTTTTTTTCTTTTTCTGGACTTAATGTTCTAATGTACAAATGGTAGGTGGTATAGCATAGTGGTTAAGGACACTAAAATGTGAACAGTAGGCTGTACAGTAGAGTGACTAAGGGTACAGACTGAAGCAGAACTCTTGAGATTGACAAATTGGCCATATGACATAGAGAAAATAATGTAACCTCTCTGTGTCTAAGTTACATTATCTGTAACATAAGAAACAATAATAGTACCTACCTGTTGGGGTTGCAATCTCTGGCATGTAGTAAGCATCTAGTGAGTCTCGGTTATTACTATTTTTAATATACAGTTAATATCTCAGAATGTATGTTGTTGATTTTAATTTTTAGATCTCTTGCGGCTGAATGGGGTAAATATGGTATGCGATTCAATGTGATTCAACCAGGGCCTATAAAAACCAAAGTAAGTTGTATTTTGCTTATTATTACATTGTGAATGATTAAATAATGAAACACTAATAAATATATTCTGGTTGTTATGTAAAGGACTTTCCAGAGATGCCTGGGTTTAGAGCCCTGGTTCTAGGGAATAGGCAGTAGATGCCTGGGTTTAGAGCCCTGGTTCTAGGGAAAAGGCTTTTGCCTTTATTTATTATCAAATATAAGAAATAAAGGGGCAGGCAGGAATATAGCAGCTATGCAATTTCTTCATAATGTCTATTTCAGTGCCTTAATCTTTTGAGATCTTTTATGCCATCAGTTTTGGCACTTTGTCTGATTTGTTTCAGTGGTCTGTTACTGTCCTCTATTTGTCAACTTTCACTACAGTTTTAAAGGCTCTTACATTGTCTGTCATCCTGATTTTTTTCAAATCAAGAAAATGTAACTATATTTTTAGTTTAAGAGATGCTCTTGTAATTTATTATACAGGCTTAGTCTTGCTATAGGTAGCATTTTCCTTGACTCATGCCTATTCCCTTTCACTCTCAGTCAATTATTCATGCCATCTAACGCCCACATCTCTCTGATTATAAATCCGTCTGACAGCATGGATTTCACCTGTAAGTAATAATCCTTGCAGATACTCATTTCAACTTGTAATTATCTCTATTGTTGTTACAGCTGTTGCTCAGAATGTCCACAGCTTCTCTGCTCTCTCATTACCCCAGAATAACTTCACTCTCACACTCTTGGTTTTCACCTAAAGCAAGAATTTATAATGCTAACCAGATGTAATGTTGAAAGCCCAGGCAAAATTTGGTAACTTTTTTCAGTTCTGTAAACATATTGGAAAATAATACTAAGGGATATTTGAATTATAGGTAGCTCTGGGTATTAAATAATAACTTGGAAATGGCCATATTAGTTTATTTAGCAGTTTAAAGGATGGGAAATGGAAATAAAAACTTCCTGAGTGACTGGAACTTGACGGACTATCTTATTTATCTGTCATGTCAATACTAAACAGTCTAATAAAATTAGTGGAGAAAACCTTAAAAACATACCTTAAAACACATGATTCAAGATGGCGCTGTCCTAGGCATACCTGAAAAGAAGCTTATAGACACAGAGGCTTCTCTCCAAGACCCCCATATCTAGGGGGAAAAATCACCTGCATTTTTACTTAATTTATTTAACATATATTTATTGACTTCCCTCTATATGCAAGGGTACTGAGAAAGATACAGAAATATCTCTGAGAAAGTGCTTACCAGCAAGGAATTTATAGTCAAGCCACTGAGATAGGAGTTGTACCCAAATAATAAGTATTCACTGTTAAAGAGATTAAAAGAAAGCTGAAGTGTAGAAACTCCCTAGCATGCACTTTTTAGAACCAGGATTGGGACCAGTTGCTACACCTTGTCTCTGGGCTTTATACCCTCCTGGGAAGAACCAGAGGTCTCTCATGGAGTCCCCTGAGTGTTTGTTCTGTTTTATGCCTGTGTTACTGAGAATAACTGTCACCTAAATTTCAAGGCACTAGTACAGAAAAATTCAGTTGTTTTTATTAATCAGTGCACATCAGTAATTCATCTGGGTCTGTTCTTCACATCATTGGCAGAAAGCAAATTGGCCAATTTAGTTGCAGTTTTTCTCTCTCTAGAAACTAATTGAATTTCGACATACTTGTTTTCTTCCTTTTCCAATATTTTGGGATGAAAGAAGAAAATAAATTTCTTCTTAAATATTTCCCATGAGTCACTTTTCTGTGTTTACTAAATAAAAAGCTAGTAATACCACTGCCTTTACACTAAACTTATACATATTTCAGAGTACTTTAATATACATTTTTTTATTTGAGGCTTATAATAATTTTGTGAGGTAGTAAGATATATATCCTCATTTTACGTAGAAGAAACTAAGATTAAAAGGGTTATATTTTCCAGTGATCTACTTTTTTTAAAGAAGAACTTGGTGAAATTATTTTTTACTTACAAAGTCTAAGATGTTAAGCTGCATGGTAGCATGCCATTTTATACACATTTTTTTTTCTTAAGTAGGAAAGGAGTTGCACTGAAAAACTCAACACAACCTAATTGTTTTCTTAATTTCTAAGGGTGCCTTTAGCCGTATGGACCCAACTGGAGCGTTTGAGAAAGATATGATTGACAGAATTCCCTGTGGTCGCCTGGGGACTGTGGAAGAACTTGCAAATCTTGCTGCTTTCCTTTGTAGTGATTATGCTTCTTGGATTAATGGAGCAGTAAGCGTTATTTCTCTTTACTTTTTTTCAGGAGTGTGTTTAGGGCAGGGAGGACTGTTGTGGAACCAATCGTGACAATGCTGTATGTAAATATGATTTAAAATATGTATTTAGCTGTAAATAATATCAAAATATTACATATATTGTTTAGCCTATGACATTTATTCAGTGACGCATTCATCTATTCTCACACTGCTAAAGATATATCTGAGCCTGTGTAATTTATAAAGAAAAAAGGTTTTTAAAAATTTATTTTATTGCATTTTAGGTTTTGGGGTACATGTGAAGAACATGCAAGATTGTTGCATAGGTACACACGTGGCAGTGTGATTTGCTGCCTTCCTCCCCATCACCTGCATCTGGCATTTCTCCCCAACTCTCCACCCACTACTGTCCCTCCCCTATTTCCCCCCGACAGACCCCAGTGTGTAGTGCTCCCCTGCCTGTGTCCATGTGTTCTCATTGTTCAACACCCACCTATGAGTGAGAACATGCGGTGTTTGATTTTCTGCTCTTATGTCAGTTTGCTGAGAATGATGGTTTTCAGGTTCATCCATGTCCCTATAAAGAACACAAACTCATCGTTTTTTATGGCTGCATAAATTCCATGGTGTATACGTACCACATTTTCCCTGTCCAGCCTATCATCGATGGGCATTTGGGTTGGTTCCAGGTCAAGAAAAGAGGTTTAATTGACACAGTTCTGCATGTCTGAGGAGGGCACAGGAAATTTACAATTATGGTGAAGGAGGAGAGTCACGTCTTACATGGCAGCAGGCAACTAGGGAGAGAGAAAAGGGAGACAAAGATAGAGAGAGATGTGTGTGTGTGTGTGAAGGGGAAGGAGCCCCTTATAAAACCATCAGATCTTATGAGAACTCACTCACTATAATGAGAACGGCATGGGGGAAACTGCCCCAATGATCCAATCACCTCCTACCCGGTCCCTCCCTCCACACCTGGGGATAATTGTGAGGATTACAATTCAAGGTGAGATTTTTGTGGAGACACAGCTAAACCATATCAAGTGATAAATTAATAGATACAAGTTACCTTGGTAGATATACCTTTTAGATGACCTTCGAGATTTGGTAGAGTTTTGAAATTGTGAAGATGTTAGAAATAGGATTTTAAACTCTATAAATCAATTTAGATCTAATCATGAGTTTTATCTTTAAAATTTCATCTTTGATTAAATTGCCAAAGAGATATTCCATCCAATTAGTATGGGAAAATGGTTGGTGTTTCAGAAAGTTTTTAAAAGAAGTTAGTTTCAGAGTTAAAAATTTTTTTTCCAGGTCATTAAATTTGATGGTGGAGAGGAAGTACTTATTTCAGGGGAATTCAACAGTCTGAGAAAGGTAATGCCATTTTGTGTGTATAATGTAATATGAGCAGCTAGGATACTAGCTTTAAAAACATGTAAAAAGCACATTAAATTGACATGTCTTTGTGTTAGGTCACCAAGGAGCAGTGGGACACCATAGAAGGACTTATCAGGAAGACAAAAGGTTCCTAAGACCACTCCGGCCTTCATCTTGCTTATAAACAAGGGAATAGAAATGAAACGATCTCCATCTCTTATCTTTTCAACTATTTCAAGTCTAATAAATTGTTAATTAATCAACATTCATTGAGTATGTATTACATACCATGCCAGTGATAGCCATTGTATATTCAAAGATGAAATATAGTCCTTCAAAACATTAAAAAATAAAGGAGGCACTAGGGAGAGTAGGTAAAGGCTTTGATAGAGGTAAAAAATGCTTAGAAGTGCAGAGAGAACAGATCTTTTTGGCTTGGAAAATCAGGAGAAACTCAATGGTGGGAGTGGCATTTGAATTACATATTGTACTATACCTATAATGATAGGGCCTAAACGAAAGAAATTAGAGGATACATACTACATTTAATAGACTATGCCTTTCTAGTATATTTTCTTTTCACTAGACTTCTGAATTATCTTCTCTGGGTAATTTAGTATTAAGTTAATTTTTACTACGACCTTTTTGTAACCTTTAATTTTTAGTATGACCTATTTGTAGCCAGGTATTTTATTTAATACTGAATAAGCTGTAGCCCTTGCCCTCTTAAAATTCATTATCTAGCAAGATAGTCAAACTTATAAATAATTATTTATGATACATTGTGATAGGTATCATTACAGCAGTATTTAAATATGGAGGAGGAAGTAATTCATTCTGCGTCCAGAATTTAGAGAATGTGATGCTTAGGAGATAGCATGCCATCCCAGCTGTAAAAGAAGAATAGATTTCTCTGGGTAAAAAAGGTAAGCAAAGTCTATAAAATATTTTTGTTTATCATCTGAATAAGTTTCACCTTTGGTTTGACTAGTCTGTCATCCTGAGAATCAAATAATAAGAAATCCAAAGTCTCAAGTCTACAGAGTTATACTTTTGAGCCTATATTTTTAAAATGTCCACTTTGCTTTCCCAGGAGTCACTCATAACATATTCACCAGACTGACTATCCCCATTGCCCAAGTTGCCAGGAGAGGAAACCAATTTCCATCTTTCCTCATCTGAATAAATCTGCAAAGGAATCCAGTTTTCCTGTTTGAATTTGTATGCCACAAGCCCCATATGGAAACTCCTATTACATTGACAGTTAATTGTATACATAAATTACATTTATTACATTTAATTGTGTATATATAGAGGAATGTTTTAGGTATGGAATAAGTGGCCTGACATTTTCTCCATATGCTTGCAGTACAATACTCTTAAAATAAAATGCAGACAGGTACCTAGTCTCTATTTTACCTTTAGTACTAACTCTGTGTATTAGTCTGTTCTCATGCTGCTAATAAACACATAACCAAAACTGGGTAATTTATAAAGGAAAGGAGTTTAATTTACTCACAATTCAGCCTGGCTAGGGAGACCTCACAATCATGGAAGAAGGTGAATAATGAGCAAAGTCATATCTTACATGGCGGCAGGCAGGAGGGCTATGCAGGAGAGCTCCCAGTTATAAAACCATCAGATCTTGTGAAACTTACTATCACACTACTGTGTTGATATTGTGTTCACACATCTGTAGTGATAGTTTATCACTCATTCCATTTCCAAACCCACCTTCCCATCCACCTCTCCCCAAACACACAAAGACCTACTCTTTCCCTCCACTGATTCCACCAGTATAGCCATATTTCTCCTTTTGGTTAAATTGATACTAAATGTTTACACTTATATAACTTAATAAGTATTATTTTTCCCAGTGTTTTCTCAACCTTTTTTTAAATTCTGATTATATGATAAATCAGATTCTTTTTAAGATAAATACTTTTAGTATTCTATTGTTTTGATGTATTATAATTTATTTATTGGAAATAGGGCTATTTATATTTATTATTTTTATCTTTTAAAATTTTTATAGAGACAATTTCTTGCTATATTTATCAGGCTGGTCTTGAACTTCTGACCTCAAGTGATCCTTCTGCCTTGGCCTTCTGAAATTCTGGGGTTATAGGCATGAGCCACTGAGCCTGGCCTTTGTGTTAAAAATTATTATTATTTATTTATTTTAAAATATATTTTATTGTACTTTAGGTTCTGGGGTACATATGCAAAACATGCAGGATTGTTGCATAGGTACGTACATGGCAATGTGGTTTGCTGCCTCCATTCCCCCATCACCAACATCTGGCATTTCTCCCCATGTTATTCTTCCCCAACCTCCCTACCCCCTGCTGTCCCTCCCCTAATCCCCCACAACAGACCCCAGTGTGTGATGATCCCCTCCCTGGGTCCATGTGTTCTCATTGTTCACCCACCTATGAGTGAGAACATGTGGTATTTGTTTATCTGTTCTTGTGTCTGTTTGCTGAGAATGATGGTTTCCAGATTCATCCATGTTCCTACAAAGGACACGAACTCATCATTTTTTATGGCTGCATAGTATTCCATGGTGTATATGTGCCACATTTTCCTTGTCCAGTCTATCATCAATGGGCATTTGGGTTGGTTCCAGGTCTTTGCTATTGTAAACAGTGCTGCAATGACCATACATGTGCATGTGTGTTTATAATAGAATGATTTATAATCCTTTGGATATATACCCAGTAATGGGATTGCTGTGTCAAATGTAATTTATGTTTCTTTGTGGTGTTCTTTGTATTTCCTGGACTTGAATATTGGTCTGCCTTGCTAGGTTGGGGAAGTTCTACTGGATAATATCCTGAAGAGTGTTTTCCAGCTTGGATTCATTCTCTCTGTCACATTCAGGTACACCTATCAAATGTAGATTAGGTCTTTTCACATAATCTCGTATTTCTTGGAGGCTTTGTTCATTTCTTTTCACTCTTTTTTCTCTAATATTGCCTTCTAATTTTATTTCATTGAGTTTATCTTCAATCTCTGATATCCTTTTTTCTGCTTGGTTGATTTAGCTCTTGAAACTTGTGTATGCTTCGAGAAGTTCTCATGTTGTGTTTTTCAGCTCCATTAAGTCAATTATATTCTTCTCTAAGCTGTTTATTCTTGTTAGCATTTTGTCAAACCTTTTTTCAAGGTTTTTAGTTTCTTTGCATTGGGTTAGAACATGTTCTTTTAGCTCAGAGAGGTTTGTTATTACCCACCTTCTAAAGCCTATTTCTGTCAGTTCCTCAGACTCATTCTCCATCCAGCTTTGTTCTTTTGCTGGTGATGAGTTGTGATCTATGGGAGGAGGAGAGGTGTTCTGGTTTTTGGTGTTTTCATCCTTTTTGTGCTGGTTTCTTCCCATTTTTGTGTATTTATCTACCTGTGGTCTTTCTAGTTAGGTGACTTTTGGATGGCGTCTCTGAGTGGATGTCCTTTTTGTTGATGATGAAGCTATTTCTTTCTGTTTTTTAGTTTTCCTTCTGACAGTCAGGCCCCTGTGCTGTAAGGTTCACTCCAGACCCTGCTTGCCTGGGGATCACTTGTGGTGGCTGCAGAACAGTAAGGATTTCTGCCAGTTTCTTCTTCTGTTAGCTTTGTCCCAGAAGGATACCCACCAGAAGTCAGCCTGAGCTCTCCTTTATGAGGTGACTCTTTGGATATATGGAGGTCAGGGAGCTGCTTGAGGAGACAGTTGCTCCCTTTTAGGAGCACAAGTGTTGAGCTGTGAGCTCCGTTGTTCTGTTCAGAGCTGCTGGGCAGGTATGTTTAAGTCTGCTGCAGCGGAACTCATAACCGCCTTTTTTTCCCAGGTCCTCTGTCCTGGGAAGGTGGGGCTTTATAAGTTCCTGATGTGCTACTGCCTTTTTTCAGAGATGCCCTGCCCAGTGAGGAGGTAGCCTAGTCACAGTCTGTGAGCAAAGGCATTGCTGAGCTGCCGTAGGCTCTGCCCAGCTGCTGTGTGAACTTCCTTGCAATTTTTTTTATAGAGGTATAGTTAGAACTGCCTCTGTAATGGCAGATTGCCTTGGTAATGGTGGACTGCCTTTGTAATGGTTGACTGCCTTGGTAATGGCAGACTGCCTTGGTAGTGGCAGACTGCCTCAGTAATGGTGGACGCCCTTCTCTTGACAGAGCTGAACTGTCCTGGGTCCAGCTGTGCTTGCTGCGAAACTCTCAATCTAGAGCATTACAGATTGCTGGTCTTTGTGGGGGTGGGACCCGCTGAGCCAGATCACCTAGCTCCCTGTTTCAGCCCACTTTTTTTCAGTTGAATGGGTGGCTCTGTCTCCCAGGCTCCAGTTGAAACAGCTTCCCAGATTTGTGTGAGTTTTTGTGCGGAGACCCAGCTGAAACAGCCGTGCTGGAAACTTGTGGTGCTTTTTAGCCTGGGAATCTCCTGGCCTGTGGACAGTAATAACTCGTTTGGAAATGTGGTGTTCACTCACCCTCTGCGTTGTTCTCTCTGAGAACTGCATTCCAGGGCTGGTGCTATTCGGCCATCTTGGATCCCTCCAAGCAAGATTTTTTATTTTTTAATGTTTTTCAAGAATGCTGATGCCTCTCCCAATGCATTTTAAAATTAGTATTACTATTACTTTTGATTGATAAATCACAATTGAATTCATTTATGGGGTGCCTTGTACATTTAAGGGATACAATGTGATGTTTTGATAAATGTGTATAATGTGGAATGATTAAATCAAGCTAATTAACATACACCTCTCTTACCTATTGGCTTTTATGGAGACACTTGAAATGTAATTTTATTAGTTATTTTTAAATATACAACACATTATTACTGACTATAGTCGTGCTGCAATAGATCTTAAAACCTGTTCTTGCTATATGAAATTTTGTATGCTTTGATCAGAAATCCCTAACCCCCTTCTCCCCACTCCCCTAACCTCTAGTAAACTATCATTCTTCTTTCTTTCTTTCTTGGTTTTTTTTTTTTTTTTTTGAGATGGAGTCTTGCTCTTGTTGTCCAAGCTGGAGTCCAATGGTGCGATTTCAGCTTACCACAACCTCTGCCTCCCAGGTTCAAGCGATTCTCCTGCCTCAACCTCCCAAGTAGCTGGGATTACAGGTGCATGCCACCACGCCCAGCTAACTTTTGGTATTTTTAGTAGAAAAGGGGTTTCACCATGTTAGCCAGGCTAGTGTTGAACTCCTGACTTCAGGTGACCTGCTCGATTCAGCCTCCCAAAGTGCCAGTCATCATTCTACTTTCTACTTCCATGAGTTCAACTTTATTGGATTCTATACATAAGAGAGATCATAGGTTACTTTTATTTTTCAGTATTATAAACTTTGAACATTTTTGTGTGTAACACATTTTTAAAATTTGGAAGTTTTTCCTCATTTCTAGAAATAGTATTAATCAAAGTTATGAAGCTTTTAAAGTTTTTTTGATATACATATCCAATTGTTATTCTAAAGATTTGTATGAGTTTAAACCCCCCTGAGTAATGTGTGCCAGTGCCCGTTTCAACAAATACCTGCCAACAATGACAACTATTCAGCTATTTTACATGTAACAAATGATAGTTCCATTAAAAACTTATTTAATTATTAGTGAGATTGCATACTTTTTTATACTTATGAATTTCTTGTCTTTTTACCTATTGGTATCTTAATGGAGTATTGTAAAAACTTTGACTTGTATGAGTTTGCATGCAATTTTTTCTTCTGCTAAAGAAAAAAATAGTTCTTTTAATAGTTTCTTAATCATTTATTACATCATTATTATGTGTTATTACAAATGGTTGATGAGAAAGTAAAGCTTGCCAGCCTGGCAGAGAGGATCAGAGAAGAGAGATCATGGAGATATTGACTAACAGATACTTTTTCCTGAGTCTGAAAGATTATCCATATTGTTTATGGATAATCACTGTATTCTTTGACAGACCACATGTGGACTGTAACCACATCGGTGTTCACCTTAAGAATGATTACTTTGTCACTCAATACCTTCTGTAAGAGTCCTGCTTCTGTTACACTAGTGGAAGAGTTAGTACTCAGTAAATTGAAGATTATTGGTAACAGTATCACTCATCTTCCGATTAACATGTGAAAACACCTCCAGGAAATGTTTCAGGTATAAAGTGACAGCCATTGTTTCCTTATTGTTCTTGTGGAAACTAAAGCAATGAGAATTTAATGACTTTGAATTATAGAAGTTTAGAGCTGGAAAAGCCTTAGAAAATGCAAATTCTCAATGTTTTTATTTTACAGTTGAGGAGGCTGCAGACCTAGAAAGTTATATGACTTGCCCTAGGTCACACAGTAAGTCAAGCTCACGTCTCTCACCCAGGTGGATATTTCTTGCGATCATAACTTAAATCAAGAGACAATACCAGGGTTTTTAGGAGATAACAGTTACATTACAAAAGCCTTGAAGAGGAGAAAGCCCATCATTTTTTTAGCTTGTTAGTTGAAGTATGACTTCTAAAAATGCACAAACCATGAATTGTCATAATACAAATGCACTCAGGTAACCATTCTCCAGGTCAAGAAACAGAACATTACCAGGAACCCAGAAGCCTCCCTTCTGCCTACCATCGTGACTCCCTTCCTCCTTCTCACAACTAACCACTGTCTTGAATTCTGACCCTATCGTTAAGCTGTTTCGGGATTTATATAAATAGAATCACAGAATATGTATTCTTCTGTTTTCTTTCTTTCTGTGTGGCAATTGCCAATGCACTCTCATTGTTATATTTTATAGAATATAAGGAGTATATGAATATGCCACAATTTGTTAGTTCTGCTCTTGGTGGACATTTGGATTATTTCTAGTTTGAGGGCATGCTAAATACAAAGCTACCATGAACATTCTATTCTTTTGGCAAAAATTTATACACCTTTCTCTGTTAGACTGATTATCCTTAGAAGTGAAATTGCTGGCTTATAGGGTATGCATATGTTCAAATTTAGTAGATACTGTCAATGGCTTCCAAGACTATTTACAATTTAATCTCCCACCAAGCTGTTTGAGAACTTCTACTGTGCTGCATCCTTACCAGTAGTGAGCATTTGAACTCTTTTTACTTTAATCCATTCATGAGTGTGTGGTGGCATCTCTTTGTTTTAATTTTGTTTGAGACAGGGTCTCACTCTTGTCCCTTAGACTGGAGTGCAGTGACATGATCCAGCTCACTGCAGCTTCAACTTTCTGGGCTCAGGTGATTCTCCCTCTCTAGTAGCTGGGAATACAGGTGTGTGCTACCATGCCTAGCTAACTTTTTGTAGAGACAGAGTTTTGCCATGTTGCCAGGCTGGTCTCAAACTCCTGGGCTCCAGCGATCCTCCTGCCTCAGCCTCCCAAATGCTGGGATTACAGGCATGAGCCACTGCACCTGACCAATTTGCATTTCTCCTGATTCCTAATAGAGTTGATTACTTTTTATATGTTACTGCATTTCACAAGGTATCTTCTTGTGAAATACTTGTTTAACTTTCTTACACATTTTTCTATTGGGTTATATTTTTAAATGTTGGTTTCTAGGAGTAATGTTAATGTATTTTTGATATGTGCCTTTGTCAAATGTATGTGTTGCAAATATCTTCTTCCACTCTGAAATTTGATTTTTCACTCTCTTAGTAGTTTTTTTTTTCAAAGTTTATAGTCTTTTTATGAACAGAAATTCTTAATTTTAATATCAAGTCCAGTTCTTCATAATTGGATGTGAAGAAGTATTTTCATGCATGAGGTACTGAAGATATTCTCCTGTGTTGTTTACATATGTTTCACATTTATATTGATAATAAACTTGGAATGAATTTTGTTTGTGGTACGAGGTAGTCATTGTGCCAGTAATTTTATATTTGCCTTTCTAGATTCATTTTTTTTTTTCATTCTTGACGCTTTTCTCTCCTTGAGGAAGCAGATCTGTCATGTATAGGTAAGTATGACTGATGTAGCTGAGGTGTAGGAATTTCTTTCCTTGATAGTGCTCAGGAATTAAAGTCAACCATGATAGTCCTGTTGCTAGCTTCATGACAGTTATTGCTACCAGCTCTCTAGGAAGTCTCTTCAGATACTTCCCTAACGTAATTTGTTTTTGTTGTTTTTCTTTCTTTGCCCATGCTGTTACTGTAACAATGCCATACTTGGTAGAGTTTTGATGCATACTTGGTAGTGAACAGTTATTTTTCTATGATAACTATTAACTATTCAGTTTTATTAGTTATCTATGAATGAAATTTAGGAAAATTCTGTATGTTCCTTTGGAGATTCCTTTGGAGATCTTTCATGAAGAAATATTTGACTATGTCAGTTGGGCAGAAAACTTGAAATATTTGGATACTTTGAGATTTCTTTGTAAATTTTAATGTTAGAGACACCCCTGAATTTAATCAAGCATCCAATATTTCACAGAGTCAATTTGTGTTTATTTAGATTCCTTAGGCCATAATAATTTGAGCACCCTACATTTCCACCTGCATCCATCATGAATTGCATGTCAGCTGACATTTTGAAGAAGAAACAAATACAAGAGATTAAGGTTATTTTCTTCTTTATTTATTCTTAGTAGTTAAATTCAGTCTAATGTCAGTGCTTCCATTTACACGCTAAAGGCAAAGCCAATCTCCCACTCACTCACTCACATCATTTAATGAATTTTAGTTTTTGGCAGATCTCATTTCTATTTGTTCTTGAGGGAAACAGATAGCTCACATTTTTTTTGTTATTTTTATGAATTCAGAAAATAAGTGTTGAATTTATAGAATGAGGACATTCAAGCTGACCCAGAATGATCATTAGCTCTTAGGCAGTAACTATAAATTTCACATGGACACATCTCTCATAGCTCCCTGTTTCACAATCACAGAATCTAAAATCACCAACTGTTACATGTCAACTAAAATCAGTATAGGATATTCTAGCTACAAGTATGTGAAACTGTGACTTAGATGTGTGTTAAAGAATGTTTTAGAATCTTCTTGCTAGATAAGATAAATGATTACATTAGCATTTCTTTTCAGATGTTATTTTTTAAACTCATTTGAAACTATTTGCAGATAGAAATAGAACTATTCTGAATGCTGATCTCAATATGAAATATAGAATCCACAGAATACACAAAAGTATTGATGATACAACATTCAATAATCAGGATGCTATGAATTTTACATTAAAATTTAATTATGTAGTAAAAAATAGAGTTGTTATAGCTAGAAAAAAATATTTTCAGAGGCAGCAGATACCCTTGGTGGAAATGAACAGTTCTACATAGAAAGAAAATCCAGGAAGTATGCAAACTAGACACCAGAATACGCAGTATATTAAATTTAATCAGAGATTACACAGAATATGACATAAAACAGCTGTTGACTAGAATAATTATAATCGGCAACATGTGAAAACAGTTTAGAAAATGGGTTTAGGTCATATTCTCTGACAGTAGGCTTGTTGGAAATACAGGCATAGAATCAGACAGATTTATGTGTCATCTGGTGCTTCCTTCCCTTGCTACCATATCAACTTGAACTGATAGTTTTGTATGGATTCAAGCAGTAGACCTGCTGTTGATTGGTAAACTAAATCTGTAATGAGACTGTTAACTTCATAAAGCCACAATTATCTATTTATTGCTAATTTGATGAGTATTTTAGATGCAAAAGCACATTCCTCCTAATATGGTGGGAAATATAGCTTAGAAATATTTTGTGGGACAGTTTGATGATTGTCTAAAGTAAGAATGTTTGGCTTGTCATGTATAATTGCATTATTCAGTGACAAATATGCATTTGCACATCAGTGACAAGAATTTTAGAGATGAATCCTGATGGAATTTTTAGGGAAATCTTGTTCAACTAAATTTATGAAAGCAAGAATATGTTATTTTTTAAAATTGGGTGTACTGACTGGCCTAAGCAGACTTTCTTCTTTTCAGTCATATAGTTACAAAAACTGTGTATTACAAACAGTATAGAAACAAGCTGAAAAGAATGAGCCACACATCCTGGATGATTATCTATATGCAGTTAAATTTACATATATAAAAGAAAATACAGCCTACTCCCTTATAGTGCACAGTTATTTTTTAGATACAATGTATCACTAGCAAGTGGTTGTGGCCACCAATTCTAGTTATCCCCAGCACAGAGAATAAGAGCAAGATCCGTTCGGTACAGCTTCCCTCCATCCGACAAAGCCATTATGTTCTTCTTGTATGTTGTAATATTATTAATATCCAGATCCTGTATTGAACATAAATGGCATTGTAATCCAGTTAAATATGGAAGTTAATTAACCACTGTCAAGTGATAAAATGTGAGATGAAAACTACTTGTTACGTCAATCCATTAACAAAACAGCTGGATTAAATTCTTAGACAAATGTGAATAATCACAAGGTTGTTTTTTAAAATCTATTTATCACAGTTACCCTGATTTAGGCCAGAACTAAATTGAGTTAAGAATTGAATTCTATTTCTGCTCCTCTCTAAATTTTTAAAGTAGGTTTCCAAAATGAATGTGCAGTTGCTTTTGGATGGGTCCATAGAGTCTGCTTAAGAAGTAAGTGCCACGGTAACTAAGTTACCTGTTTATTCTTCTCACACAGATCCTTCAGTAAAGCATCCAGTTCATTTTCATCTATGTATCCATTGCCATCCTAGGGGAGGGGAAATAAAATAGTATACAACCAACTTGATCTACAGTAGTGGGAAATGAAGTAAATGGAAATAATTGGAATCTTTTTAAAAAAATTATACTCAAGTTCTGGGGTACATGTGCAGATCGTGCAGGTTTGTTACACAGGTATACACATGCCATAGTGGTGGTTTGCTGCATCCATTGCCCCGTCATCTACATTAGATATTTTTCCTAATGCTATTCCTTCCCTATCCCCCAACCCACTGCTATTCCTCCCTTAGCCCCCACCCCCCAGGCCCCGGTATGTGATGTTCCCCTCCTTGTGTCTGTATGCTCTCATTGCTCAACACTCATGAGTGAGAACATGCAGTGTTTGGTTTTCTGTTCTAGAAAGTCTCTCAACTGCATACATGGCAGATACTCTAATCTCTTATGTCAGGCCACCCAAGTTTTTAGCTGCTCCAAAGTTGTAAGATATGCAAGGTATTAGTTACCTCTCATTCAATACCTTACATTTGTATAATATTTTGAACTTTTCAAAGTACTTACACATGTAATTCACTTAATGTTAGTAATTCACTTAATGTTAGTAATTCACTTAATGTTAATAGTATCTTCTGGGACAAGTGAGGAAACAGGGCTGGGGAAGGTATGTTGTTCCATGTCACACCAGGTGGTGGCAGAGTTCTACTAGAGGCCACAGGTCCAGGAGTAAACAAATTAGAAGCAAAGGGTGTGACCTAGTGACATCACAAATAACCTTTATTTTGCTGGATATTTTCCCCTAGCTTAATCTTCATTCAATCCTGCAAACTGGTGTTATTATTATCTGTTGTTTACAAATGAAGAAATTGAGGCTCACATGAGTTTGGTATCTTGTTCAAAGTTTCAAAGCAGATAAATCATAATGTGGGATTCAAATCTAGGTTAGTGTAATTTGGACATACCATAATATCTTTCCTATGAAAGAATGAGTTGGTTGTGTAATTTTAATAATTATTTTCTTTATATAAAAATGATTTTCTTTATATAAAAAGAAAACCCTAAAGACTTCACAAAACACTGTTCAAATTAGTAAACATATTACAAGTTGTGGGATGCAAAATTAACAATTGAAAATTAGTTATGATGATAAACTGTCTGAAATGGAAATTACAAAATCCTATTTACAATAGCACCAAAAGAGTAAAATACTTAGGAATAAAGTTAACTGAGATGAAAAACTTATACATTGAAAATTATAAAATACTGATGAAAGAAGTTAACAAAGACATAAACAAATGGAAAAACATCCTGTGTTTATGGATTGAAAGGCTTAATATTGTTAAAATGTCTATACTACTCAAATACATCTACAGATTCAATGCAATCACTTCCAAAATCCCAATGGCAATATTTATACAAATAAAAAAAATACTGAAATTCATACGGAACCACAAAAGATCCCAAATAGCCAAGAATCATCGTGAGAAGAACAAACCTGGAGATATCACACTTCTTGATTTCAAAATATATTACAAGCTACATTGATTAAAACAGTAGGGCACTGAAGCAAAAACAGAAACATAGACTAATGAGCTCTCAGTTTCACATGTTATGGTCAACTGATCTTTGATAAGGTTACCAAAAACACAGAATGGGACAAGGATAGCTTTTTTTCAACAAATGGTGTTGGGTTAACTGTACAGCCACATGCAAAAGAATGAAATTGAACTTTTAGCTTACACCATATAAAAAATAAATTCAAAATAGATTAAAAAATTAAACGGTAAGATCTGAAACTGTAAAACTCCTAGAAGCAAACATTAAAAAAGCCTTTATGGCTTTGGTCTTAGAAATGATTTCGTGGCTATGAAACCATAAGCAAAGGCAATACAAGCAAAAACAGACAAATGAGACTATATCAAACTTAAGCCCTTCTGCACAGCAAAGAAAACAATCAACAGAGTGCAAAAGCAGCCTACAGAATGGGAGAAAATATTTGTAAACCACATCCCCAAAATGGTGAATTTCCAAAATTCATAAAGAACTCCTGTAAGTCAATAGCAAAAAATGAATAATCCAATTTAAAAAAAAGGGTTAATGAATTGAGAAGACATTTATCCAAAAGGGATGTATAAATAGGTAACAGGTAAATGAAAAAAATGCTCAACATCCCTAATCAGAGTAATAAAAATTAAGCAAACACTTGACACCTGTTAGAATGGCTATTATCTAAAAGATAAAAGACAAGTGTTAGTGAGAATGAAGAGAAATTGGAACTCTTATACACATTTGTGGAAATGCAAATATGGTGCATCCACTATGAAAAACAGTGTGGAGAGTCATCAAAAAATTAAAAATAAAACTACATATGATCAAGCAATATCAGCATAAGACAAATACTGCATGATGCCACTTATATGAGGTATCTAAAATAGTCACACTCATAAAATAGAATGTCATTGTCAGGGCTGGGGGAAGGAGAAATGAAATGTTACTAATCAGTGAGCATAAAGTCTCGATTATATTAGATGAATGAATTCTAAAGATCTGTCAATATTGTCTCTATAGTTTACTATATTTTAAACTTAAAAATTTGTTAAGATCTCATGTTAAGTGTTCTTACTGCAATGAAAAAGGAAAAAAGTAATAATTTTTTACCTGATCATAGAGCTCAAAAGCCTTATTGAACTCTTTCCCACACATTTTGATTCCCTAAAGACAGTGAAGAGAGTAAATGTTAAAATGCTATTACTATGTTTCAGTATGTTTCCCTTGACAAGTCTCCCACATTCTAGCTTTTCAAGGAAAATATTATTTAAGGTAGTAAAAAGTTAAATACCTGGAATTTAAGAAGAAAATTCTCCTGCACTGGCAGTAACCTTTTGAGAGAAAACATTATATTAATATATTATATTTTTTGAAAATGAGCCACTTATAGTAACATTTTTCATGGTTCCTAAACTCACCTGGCCATCTCAGTTAACTCCAGCTTCCCATCATTATTTGAATCAAATAGTTTCAGCTGAAAGATAGAATGCCATTATTCTAGCTATTTGAGGAATGATTTATTGCATGAAGGAGACGAACTTCAAAATAAAGCTGTTTGAGTTATCATCTACTTGTATATATACAGTAAAATTTTAGAAACTAGCACTGCTAAACTTTCAATGCAACTTTTCAGTTCTGTAATGTGTCAATTGCTAGAGTTTATCAGAATAATACAGAATACTCAAACAGAGCAATAGTGGTCTTAGCTAAGTTCCTAGAACACTCTGTTTTTAAATTGCAAATACATTTGTATGTGTGTCAAGATGTGGAAGGGATGGCATCTGACGGTTTACTGTACTTCTGGAGTCTCTCCAACAAGAAAATAAATATTTAATTTATTTCAACCTTTTAGAGCACAGAACACAAACCGAAGCAGAAAACAGATAAATAAATCCTTAGAGAATAAAATTTTTGAATAATTTTTGAATTATTTTATTTTCTATTGGGTATTAGAAACTCAATAAAGCCATCCAACTTTCCATTGCACTTATATAGACATCATTCACAAAGACACATCTAGATGTAAACACACTCATACCCATATTTGGGAAGCATTTATCTTTTTAGACAGTAGCAACTATTGGTGTAATATATCAAAGTAGTATATATTAATTACATTAAATGTATAAAATGTGTATACTAATTGAGCACTAAATATGTGAAAAATTAACATTGTTTTTAAAGAAGAGAATGTGTCCAGTGTTATAATGGATATAGGTTTAGTGACATCTTTTTAAGGAGGAAATGAAGAGTATTCTATGGTTTAAGATGCTCTAAGAAACTTTTGTAGGAGGCGGATTTTTTTAGGGTTCCATGCTGACGAAACAGTTTATAATCCATTGACTGTAATATCTGATATTGTCACACTCTACCAAGATACTGGACAGATCTATCACTTAGTTTTGTGCCCGTAGGGAAATATTTCCCAGCATATATATTTAAATTTTAATTAGCTCTTGATTAATTTGCTTCCTGGATTTGAACTGGTTTATGACATTTAATCAGATGTCGGGCCAATCCAACAGAGGGAAACTCCCATCTGAGTGGATTTTGAAAGACTGCTTCAATATTCTACCTGGAAAGGAGCCTTTCTTTAAATAGGCATCCCTTAAGATTAGAACAAAGTGGAAAATTGATAAATGTAGGTTATTGTCCATTACCCAAAAGTTTTTCAGAGCTTAGACCTGCCGATTGTGGCAAATAGCAAGAAACTCTCCCCCATTTGTTTGCTAGTGCTATTGTAAGTGGAGATGTAATGAGGAATTAAAGATGATCAGGAAAATCTTTTTGGTTGTTTTGAAACTAAAGCGTAGCCCCCACTTTATAATAAATAACATTGTTTAGGGAATAAGGCAATAGTAAAGTTCTGGTAGGTTTTCCACCCCCCCCCCTCAGCCCTCCCCCCCATAAAAGTAAGTTGAGATGCTGAAAACAAACCTTGGTTACATCAAATATAATCAAACCCTTTATAAGATTGTTTCTCAGAGTAATTAAAAAGTCTAACTCCTTTAATATAACAGCAGCAGCTTCTATAGTATAGAGCTATATTTATGGTTTATTGATTTAAATCCATAGCATAAGAATTCACAGTACCTTCACTGTACTGAAAGCATGTATGAATATATGTATCTCCTGGTAATCCTACTTTTGTGATGAGTCAAAATAAGCAAACTTCATCCAATAGAAGCTAACTTCATAGACATTGGTTTATTTTATCTGGAACCTTATTTATTTGCTCATTTTTTCCCCCTAAACAGTAGGTGCCTATGTGTAAAACAGTTTTCTTGGCTCTATTATCAACATTCTATAGAAGATAATAGTTATCACTATTTACCATAGCATCAGCCTCAGGGCATATTTAGATTTCCTCACCCTAAGCACCAATATAAAACGACCAAAAGAAAGAAGGAAACCCATTTTAAGTTGCTTAATTAATAAATTACCTAGACAGTCTCTTTAAACTGTAACAAAGTATAATTTCCCAAACTGTGATAAAAATGGATTCAGTACTTGTATAATAAGTGAGTTTTTGCTGATATAATTTATATATATAGTTTACCTTATACATGTGTAAGTTATATAATTTAGTGATATAATTACACTGGCTTTGGAAGAAAAGCAAGTCATCTTTTGATAGATAAAAATTACACAGCTCTACAGGGAAGAAAATGCTCATATGTTGAGCCTCGAAGCCAATGCCTGCAGCACATAAAATGACAAGATGTAAGCATCCCTAAGTATTTCAGTGTTCAAATGGAATTCTACCTATGTGCATATGACACCCACACCACTGCTTATTTATTTCATCCTGTGTAGTCTTGGGAATTAGCAAGAACATTATACTATTTCATGAGCTCTTGGCTGCAATCTTTTCAAGATCAGTCTTACCATTAGGTCTGTATACTCAGCTAATTTTGTGTCATCAACGGTCTTGTTTGCTTTTTCCAGCAGGTCTTTTAGAAAGTTCTGTTAAAACAAAGAATGCTTAGATAAATTTAATTGACAATATATTGTCTAATTTCATTTCAGAATGCCTTCGAACAGAACATACCAGGAATGCAAATAAAGTCTCTTTTTGAGGGTAGAAGCAGGTGAGTAGGGGAATTTATAATAGAGGAAAGACCAACCAGGTAGTCCTCTTGGTATTCCAGCAATGAAACTACCTCTGACAGGAGTAATACCTGCTTTTTACTGAGACTTGATTGGTCATTATCTGTACATTAGCATGATTTCTTGATTTCAGTTAATCTGAATAAAACCTTTTAAAACAAGCTAGCCCAGTGGATGCATTTCTGCTTACTGATACCTTCACAAGTACTCAAGGGATTGTTCTGCAAGAAACACAAGGGCCTTTATACCTTTGGAATATGTACAAAAAATTACTAGTAAAGCAGATAGAGATCTATCTATAATTTCAAATCCACTTCTGCACCCCCCACCCCACCCCAGGCTATATTTACACATCAGTTTATAGCTACTGTGATGCTTATTTCTCCAGAGGGCCAGTTGGTTAGTTTTTGGCTTGATGCAGTCCAAAGCACTTTGGTTAAAATGCTTCTGCTGACTATTCAAATTAACAAAATTGGCCACAGATGATGTCATTGAATTTTTGAAAGATACATGAATCATATTAAAATAGAGATTGAAGTGGGAAGGATGAAAAACAAGATGATTATTAACTTGACAGCTGGAGCTTAAGAGTGAATTTAATTTTTTTAACAGAAATGTAAATCAAATAAAAGCTTTACAAAGATTTGCCATATAAGTGACATGTAAGCACTTAAGCATATAATAGTCACTCATTTTGTATAGTGCTGTTCATTCCTAACTCCTTTATTTTCTCAGAAAATGAATGCAATTAGGAAAAACTGGGCAGATACTGTATCCAGATATTATTGAATGGGTTAGATTTTTTCAATTCAGCAATGGCTTATCTCCCTCAGAACTGTACCAGTTATGCGCTGATTTGATACCACTTTTTAAAAGGAAAGATACCCTTTTCTTAGTTTGATAATTTCTTTTCACTTTAAATATTCCACTTCAAATCCAAAGAGAAGCATGGAAAATTCAGTTATCTGTTGGGGTTGAATTTTATTTTTGAGCCTTACAGGGCTTTTGTCAGAGATTAATTGGGTTAAAAAGCCTCATCAGAGACTAAAATGGTGGTCACAAAAATAGCCTGGGAGAAACCTTGGGATGCAGAGATTCAAAGTCGTGTCTCGGAGCAAGTGATGTTTTACTCTATTATGGATCTTAAATTAGCTTTCTTGAAAGATCCATTAAAAAAGAATACCAACTTATCTTCAAAATTCCCCAGGGAAGAGGACTTCTATTTAGAATCTCTGAGAATAAAATTTAGAGCAAAGGAGACTTTTAGAGTATTTTGAGGTCAGTATTGGAAATGAACTAAGGTTTTCATTATTAACTAGAAAGGATCTTTAAAAGTATTTTTGGTCTAACTAATAAAATAAAAACACAGTGGCTTAACTGTTACCTTGTGGGTTGTTGAGCTGCAGGTTTGTAAATACATTATTTTCAGTGACTTTACATTAAAAATGCTTACATTTTCAAGAGGATACACTTGAATATGTTTTAGCCATTTTGCCATGGCCCAAATGTCCCAGTTCCATCTTTAAAATTGTATTCTACTCAAACTATGTTGAATTATGACTAGCACTATTTGATATTCCTGTTTCCCAGCATAGCAGCAAAAGATGTAGCTCTTAATAAACAAAGTCTGAAAGAGTGCAGTGCTGTGGGTGGGGTGGGGTGGGGTATCATTCTTAGCATTATCAGATATTCTAGGTCCAAATCTAGGTTCTCTTCTTAGGCAGCTGTGTAATCTTAAAACATTAGAGGGATTTTTGAAGATTCTCTAATTAGATCTCTCTACACCCCAATCTCACTGTTTGTATATTAGGAGTGATAGCACTGGCTTTGCATATTTTCTGTGAGGATTAAATGTTAAAATACATTTCAAGCACCTTGGTACCTTGTACTCTGCCTGACACAGTCAATAAATATTAACTCACTTATATTTTAGTCACTCTATATTTTAAAAATAGAAAAAGTAGGGTCTTTCAGATGGACATGTTTAGGGATCGGTTTGAGGAAATGAGAAGAATACTTCCATATTCATGAAAGGCTGGTAAATTGAGTTCATGAATAATATAATTTATTATATGCTACATGTCACAAAAGCTTTCATGTGCAGAATATTACTGGAGCTTCACAATAAGCCTGAGTGGGAGGATTTATTACCCTCATTTTAAAGATTAAAGAAAATTAGAAAGATGTAGTAATTAATGAGGTAAGACTTGATTTAATATCTCTGCCTTTTCTATCTTCCCTAAGTGATAAATTCATTTTCTCAGTTGCAATTTTTCAAAATTTTAATTATAGGAGATTTTTCTTTATCATCATTGTTGTTGAGAGACAGTAGGTTGTACAGAATGTCTACAGGCCTTGGAGGCAGACTAGCCTGGATTTGCACATCACACCTCAGTCCGATTTCTGTGTGGCCTTCTGTATATCATTTAACTTCTCTCAACTCTTCCTCACTGGGGTAATAAAATCTCATAGAACTCATGCAAAGATTAAATAAGACATTATGTGCAAAATAGTTGGCATACAGTAGCTATTCAGTGACTTTTTCTTTTGTAATAAAATCCATATGTGTTTATTTTGAGAAGTAAAACTTCAAATTTTAATAAAATGAATGGCTTATTAGGCTTATCTATAATTCTGTCTCTGTCTTACATTTGTGTACTCCATAGAAAATGTTTATTTCTTGCATTACTCTACAGAATTTTAAGAAGCAATTGAAGTCTTTTTTGATCTGGTACTTCATTAACAGTGCCGAAGAGTAGTTGAAAATGTGACTGTTCAACATTAGTTTCTTTTGTGGGAGGTTTTTTAAAAAGCTAGGAAGCTCTTAGTTCTTAATTGCATTTGAAAAGGAAAAACTTAGCACAAGTTTTTATTTGCTTACCTTTAGCTCCTCAGTTTCTATGAAACCACTGTGGTCAGTATCATACTTTCTCCATGTCTGTAAATAATTTTGGATAAGGAAAACAAACACATTTTTAATAAAAGGAACAATTTTCCTACTTTCAGCAGCTTTCTTAAAGGGACAGCTTTCTTATACCTTCATGAATTCCTCACAGGACTTCAGCTGCTGGCATCGGAAGAGCAGCAGGAAATTCTCTTCTGTGGGTAATATGTGAGCCAACTGGAAAAGATTTAAAAAGAGAGAAACATGTTTTAAGGAGCCCAAAAACAAGTCTCTGTCATCACCTGCTGCTTAGTTTTTCTTCAGCGTATTCCCTCACAGGCTAGAAAAGTAGAAGAAAAACATTAGAGTCGGTGTTCCCTTTCTGGTACTTTCCTGTGGTTTCTTCAATGCTTGTGTGCCCTTGTGTGCTTGGTTCTTGGGCCAGTGAGGTGGCTGCAGCAGACCTGTGCTCAGGAAGAACTAGCGTGGCCGCTCGTCTGCTGGACATTCAGGCAGATTTGTTCTGTTGGCTTGAACCCTTCATGTGTTCTATGCCACAGATCAGGGCTCCCTTCTCACAGGGTGCACAGAATGGCACATGTGGAGGCTATAAATTTCATGTGAAGTGAAACCGTGAGGAACATACATGTGGGGAAGGGAGTGAAGGGGGAAAATGAATTCTCATACCGGAGGAGAAAGCCTGCTATGAGATACAAGGGAAGATAAACCAAGGACCACTGTAAGGCAACGGAAAAGAAATTCACCATGAATGGCGGGGCATTAAACAGGAATAGGAAAAGCCAGTTCTCAAATTGTTGCTTTCTGCTGAAAGGACATCCATTGCCTAAATCCAGGGCTGGGGTTTATTTTCTGTTCTCCACGGCATGCCTCTATGATATTTTCCCTTAGATGTCATTTCATAACTTCAATCCTCTATTTTTTTTTTCTGGAAGAAAAAAGGATTCCATATCCCATTTTATGACTAATCTATTGCATGCACAGAAGGAAGGAGCTGGATTGATGGCTCCACTGCAGATGTGAGATCTATTTCTGGCCCAGCAGCTAATTAGCTGTGGTCCCCAGCAACCCCGAGCCATTTCTGGACTTCAGTACCCTCATCACTAAAACAAGGACTTGAAATAGAAGCCAGTGTTTCTTGAATATATTGGGATCAAAACGTCTTCTGTTGGAAACACTGCATTTTCACCATTAAAGAATGAATATACACAAAATATATGTCATCTGATTTCCAGGATTTCATGAATTCCCTGATTCACAGGCATGGACCCTCTTCCCTGGATTTTAGGCCAAGAGCCTGTAGTCTAGATCAGCCTTAAAGTCAGAGTAAGTTCAAAAAGTTCTACCAAGTTATAGAAAAGATTATCACAATTATTTTTTTAAATTCATCCTTTTAGGTTTACATTTAAAAATTTAAAATTTGATATAAAATGCACTATTCTGTGTTAATATGTAAGCAATCTCACTTTACTTATACCTGTGTATGCCCTTTAACTTATCTTATTTTTAGATTTTTGAAATAGTATTTCAAATTAAAACCACTAGGTTTACAGGCACTACATATGTGGGTGAGACTAAGAGAAAGGGCCAAACCTCCTATCAAGTTTAATATGACCTAGTCATAAAACATTTTCTTATTTATTTTTAAAGAAAGGTCACTAGTGTGGGTAGATGATAATATATCTAAAAAGTAAAAATGGGGGTTTAAAATTTTCCAGTACTTTTAAAAAATTAGCTTTTGGTACCTAAACACATTTGCATCATTGTAGTGTGTGTGTGTGCATGTGTGTGTGTGTGTGCGTGCGTGTGTGTGTGTGTGTTTGTGTGTGTGTGTGATATCCAGGTCCCTTATTAAACTCAGGACATACTTCTGTGACCTTTGCATTCTTTCAATTCCTTTGAATACTCAAATCATAAAATTCTGTACCTCAGAAATAATTAATTTAATTTTATTCAAAGACCACATTTTTCAAATGAGGATGCTAAGGCCTGAAGAGGTAGAATGACTTGACCTGATGATTGGCAGACTGAAAATCAATTTAATTTAGTGATTATTAGTAGATTAAGTCAACAACATGCTTCTTGAAGACAGTAATAGAATAGTTTGGTTGCTTCTTTGCTCTTGGACTGTAAATAATGAATTTGTTGGTGATTTTTACATGTGACAATGAGATAGTTTGAATATGATAGGCTGTTACCGATTGAAATCTAGAGCCCTGTCTTCCTCACACCCCCCTCCATTTTTTTCCTCATCTGCAAGTGGGCTGCTAGTGGAAAGTAACTATAAATCATTTTCATTATTAAAGTATCCAGATACCTGGCAAGTTAGGCCAAGAATGTAGGTCTCCCCCAGAGCCAAGGGAGAAGAGGAGAAGGGAGGGAGAATGGCAGTGAGTGGACTAGGCATGGAGAGGGGCTCTGGAGGAGGGAAAAACACCCACACCCCTCCAGACTTTTGTTGAGCCTGGCCTCATCTATAATACTTTCCTGGAGGGATTCTGAAGAATGTCTATTTGAGGATTTTAAAGAAGATGGGAAGAGAAGAGAAAGTAGCCCAAGAATGAAGAGGGAACAAAGATGGAAGACAATAAAAGACATGAAAAAGGAAGAAAATATGTCAGAGGCAGACATTTTAAGAGAAAGATTAAAAAATGGAACTGGATGTTATATATACATTTTGGAGGGTCTGCATGATATAGAAGGTCTAGCTAGATTTTATTAAGGTTTTGCATGAACATAAGTGTTCATTTAGGAAACAGGAGATAGCTAATACTAACTTGTTCTTTATTTATTGGTATGCAACATGTTAGATACTTCTTGGAGTTTTTAGGTGACCTTCCTATAGACCATTAATTTCAAGCGGGCAGGGAATAATATTTTTCTGCATTCCCTGAATATCCAGCATGGTATCTAGCATGTTATATGCATGAAATAAATACTTGTGGATTAGTTGGTAATTTTACTTTATTAAAAATGCCTACTTAAAAGGATTTAGAGTATTGTTTGCTTATCTTCATTATAATTTTCTATTTTTTTGAATTTTTATAATTAATGTTTATTGCTTTGAAAAAAAGGAATAATTTTTTTTAAATTTTATATTTTCAGATCCACTGAATACATAAAAACAGAAAAGACAAAAGAATGAGCTAGTAAGCAATCACTAAATGTAAAATTAGGGAAATTGTCTTCGTTTCAAAATAAAAGTTCATGTAACTCATAAAGTTCAGAGGTCTCCTGAATGTCAGATACAGAGATAGTAAAATTGCTCTTCATGTCTACTATAAATGTATATTTCTTTCCCACACTGCTTTGGTCTTATACTTAAATTATTAAAAATACAGATTACATCTATGTGCAACATATTCAATCTGTTTTAATTTCACTGAACTGTTACTGTTACACTCAATACCATCCTATTTTATAAATGTTAGAAAGGAGTCTTAAGCACATAAAAGACTATTATAAGACAAACTAGACACTTAATGAAAGAAATTTATATGTATCTATAGGATGTGGCTATAGTGAATATAAGGTATGTCTTAAGGTATGTTTACAATGTGGTGGTCGTGTGTTGTCTCTCGGTTCTTCTGTCAATGTATATCAATCAATATTCAAGTTTCAGAGCTGGGCACAGTAATTCTCTAGCTGTAGCCTTTATGGCCATGTCTACAATGTCCCAAAGGTCTTTCATATAGGAGGCATTAAGTAGAGTTACTTTATTCTCAGATATGCCGTCACTGCTGTTCATAGAAGTACCCAATACTTCCTAATCCAGTATTATTAGTGATTCCATAGTTTTTGGGCTCCCTGCCTGCTCTTTTATTGAACTCCCAAAACTTTTTTATGAGTTGGATAAGAGAGTGAAGAGTATCAAGGGGATGAGTGGAAGGTAGGTAGCTATGGAAATAAACAGAATCCCTCAGAGCTTCATTTCTGAGAACTAGTTGCTTGTCCTCAAGAGTAGGAAAAAAACCAACTTTCTACTTGCCTGTCTCCCCTGCCAGCGGACATGCTCCTTGAGGATAGGGTCTGTGTCTTATTTACTATTTCTTTGCCCAGCAACTGCACAAATTTTATTAAATATTTTATTGAAGCAATACATAAAGTCAATTAACTATTTGTCTAGCATCAGGATAGACTGTAAATAAATGGAGGTAAAGTTCCTTTGGAGATAATTTCAATAACTTATTATTAAGCTGTAAATAGGGGTTGGGGTGGACATTGTGATATGCCAGAGCTCCCTTCAAGTGCTGGGAGTGTTGCTGCAGCCTCACCTGTCAGGGCCCATTGAAGGAATACCTGGAGTGAAGAGAGCTGTGTCCCCACGGAGGTGGTATCCTACGACTGATCAACATGTGATATAAAGACCCAACCCTCTCACTCAAAACCAGAGACATTCCCGAAGGGTCATCCCAGCTTCAGAACTCACTGTAGAGTCAGCTGATGTCTCATTTGAGACTGTGTCACAACCCAGCTTCTCCCTCTGCCCAGACCTATTCTCTTTACTACTATCCCAGGGATATTGATCCCAAGAGCACTTCCTAATAAACCTGCCCATTGCTACTCTTCCACTCAGTTCTACTTCCCAGGGAACTCTACCCATAACAGGGGTCTTTACATCTCTATTTTATTTCTAGCATAATACAGAGCCCTTGCCTGATGTTTTGGAGTAAGTTGAAATCCCTTGCTGTGGCTCATTTGGCTACTAAATATGAGGCACTGTGCTGGTGACCACAGTCACAACTAGTGAGAACTGTATAGGGAGACAGATACTTTCAAACAACTTTTTCCCTGACAATTTCAAAGCAAGTGATAAATACAACAATAAAGCTAAGTTCTAATTGTGAGGAGAGGATACATGAAAGGCTACTTCATTAGTGATATAAATTACATCACAGTGCACATGAGGCAGAATTCCTAGCTTTTAAAGACAATCATGATATGGCGACATTCTTGTACATGTATTAGCCAAGTATTCATTTTTTTTTTCATTTGAGAATCAGAAAAGCCTTTTCCCTAGCCAGTGAGAAGTACGTCCAGGAAATCTGAAAGGTAGATAACTATCAAAAATGTAAAGCTCTTTGAATTTAATAATTTGAATTTGACAAATTATATAAGAAGTGTGGGAAAAGCTTGGCATTCAGAAGTTGGGGTAGAATTTCTAGTAAGTTATTTATAGATGTAACAATAATTGAAAATACATTTGTTGAGTTTTTACAGTGTGCCAGCGTGGAGCTATTTGTTCGACACATATTAATTGATACTGATAATCATTAACAACCTTATGTAAGTTAATACATTGTCATTCCTGCTCACAGCCAAGGAAATAGAGGATCAAAGAGGGTAAATGCCCTGCTGTCACATAGATTGTAGTTGGAGCCAGATTTGAAGGCAGTGAGTCTGACTTTCTTGGCTTTAAGACTCTGTTCCTTACCTTCATCACCCTCCATTAAAATCTTCAATTAAAAAAAATTCCTAATAAATTATTTAGAAAAATCTATGTAGACACAATTTTAAAATCAGATTTCATTGTCAGTCATTTCCTCAAATTCTGAGGTGGAAAAGAGTCTTCCATGAAAAATTATTATTCACCATGGCTAAACTCACAGGCTCAAATCCCATTGCAGATGAAAAGAGGGAAAGGCTGGAGAAGAGCTGCTTCCCTGGGAGGGTTGTTACAGTTTTAGGATTAAAATAGCTTTTAGGTCTATTTTTCAGTGGATGCACTGACCTGGACAAATAGAAACAGTAAGAATGGAGAGGATGGTAGGTTTGTCACACATTGCTCAAAGAATCAGGTGAAAAACTTATAGATTTGACATCCATTTAAGAGAAATACCTACATTTCATGTGAACACCAGAGAAGAAAGGTCTATTATCTGCTAAATCATTCAGTCTTCCTTTTTAATTATTTTAATCAGCCCTCTTTGTAGTAGAGCTATTAGTCTGAATAAATTTAGAACAGTTTTTGACCATCACTTTATTTGTTAAATTATCTCAGAATTTGAATTCTCCTGTTTTGAGTTTGTATTAACAATTTATTTCTGAACCATATTTATGTGAATTTTTAAATCTATTTAAAGACATGAAATTAGAAAGTTCAGAAAGAAACATATTTGCTTCTAGTTAGCAAATGCATGTTGTTAGAAAGTGTCAGTTAACTTTATCAGATCAGAAGTTTGAAAGTTAACCATTACATTTTCTAATTTTTTGAGTGACATCTTTCGGAGGCAAACCAATTGGCCTGTTCCATCAGGGAAGCAGACTACTGCATGAGTATCATTTGGTTTACTTTGATTCGATTTTTTTGAGTTTGTGAGTACAACTATTAAGTGAGCTTAACATATAAGTAAATCCATCTTGTTTCCCCTTTGATTACCAAAGTTAATTTGTGTTTGATGTCAACAGGTAGACTATTATAAATTTTAGAAAGCATAGGATTTTGCATTCCTATATAGCTGGCTAGAATTTATGTATTTATGTCCTATATTATTTATAGGATTTCTAAGCAAGTGATATACATCAAATTGGAAAAAGAAAGGATGAACTTCATTTAATACAACTTTCTGGCGACACTAGAGAGCACAATGTAAGTTCATACATTTCCTCCTCCCCCTCTCCCCATTTTCTACATGTAATCTGTAACTTTTAATGACTATTTCCCAATTATTTTCAGAATTTCTCTTTTCTTCACTCTTCACCACCACAGAGTGAATCAACATGCATATCAACTACGGAAGCAATCTCCTATTTATTCTCCCATTCTCCAATTCTCTTCTCTCAAACTAATGTCTTCTTCCAGACGCCTTACTCCTATGTCTTGGCTGATAGCTCAGGTTAATGAAAAGAGTTCTAGAATCAGAACGAGATCTAAGTCTGTATATAGACTTTGTTACTCCCTGCCAGTGGGACCTTGGATACATCATTTGGCCTTTTCGGGCTTCAATTTCTTCATCCTTAAAATGAAGAATGTTGGCTAGTTCTTCCCAAGAGTCTCATCTAGCAAAAAGTTCCATGTCCTGGGACACTAAAACCTTCCAATCAGTTTATATGTATCTCATTTGTCTCCCTTTAAATTCTTTCTGCTTCAGCTGATCAAAAGTTCTGCTGAAATCATGTTTCAAGTGCTTTGCCCAAATAACTTCTCTGCAGAACACTTTGTGCATCCCTATTCAACCCGGCTAAACTTAGAAACTTGCCATAAGTAATCAACCAACTGAAGCCTGAAAACCTTTCCTTTTAATGCTAAAAATGTACAGATTATTTATTATTAAAAAAAAGGCAGAGTAGTTTGGGGGAACATGGCCAGGTTCTGACTGTTCTACCCTGTATTTCTTACTTTTTCTGTGACCTTAGGCAAATTCTATTGAAGGTTCACATTCCACAATTATAAAATAGATCTTTATTTTGTATTTAAATTTACTTAATTTTCTTATCATGAAGATCAAATGAGATAACATAATTGAAAACGCTCTGTAAATTTTATAATTTTATACAAATGTGAATTCTTTTATTGTGTTTATTGCTATAAAAGCTTTTCACCTCTTTATTTTGGACTTCATTGCCTTCTCTATCTTCTTCTGTTACCTATATTTCTCTATCTTTCCTAACACATAAAGCCTTTTCTTTCCTGTAACAGTTTCTTTTCTAAAACTTCTGAGGAAATTTCCTTCATTAACCCTCCAGGACAATGCTGCTGCTATATGGCCTCTAACCTCTCATTCAAAATAGAGCTCAAATAATGTCATAAATGATTAGACTGTATGACATAAAGTAAAACCTGGATTCAAAACATGCTCATCCATTTTATCCTTTTAAAAATGTAAAATCCATGTGAATCAGATCAATGCTTTTTACTGCACAATCTAGTATTGCTGAAAAAATGAAATTGAATAAATAGCTGATCCCATTAGAGTCCTTCAAGGTGAAGTATGTTAAATGTAAGGTGATAGTCTTTCCTTTACTAGGATTATAAAGTATGTCAAATTCTAAAAGAGCCAATTCGTAATTTCACTGATGTCATATTTTCAAACTAGTTTTGAATAATTAGATTTACCTCATCTCATTTATGTTTAATTTAAAAGTTATTTTCTTATCCTTCATGGTTTCATATCTTGATTAGTTGGCCTATATGTCAATCTGTAAGTCCCATTACTATTATCTATTTATATAGTAATGAGTTACACATAGGTTAAGGGGAAAGTATGTACTCCAGGGAAAAATTTTAATTACAAAGATAATAATAGTATGCCCTCTCTTAACTCTATTTGTAGTAGCTGTTTAAAAATAAGTGTATTTCACATTGGCATCACAAGTGTCCTATAAGATCAATTATTTGAAAACCAGGTTATTTCTCTGAATCAAAGATAAATTATTCCTGAATGTTGAGAGCCAGAATACTTCACAATCTAATACACTGAGAAACAGTATATAAATAACATAATTATGCTTATGATTTGGCATATTTTAAATTATGACCTTATTAATTTTTCTAGACAAAGGCTTCCACCCAATTTATCTAATAGGCTGCAGAGATAAGAAAGAGGCTGAGACACCACAGGCTGGAACGGGAAGCATCAACTCTTTCACAAATCTGAGAATGCAGAAGAATTGATGCATAATCCGTTTTGCTTCCTTGATTCACAGACAAAAATAAGTTGCCCTTAATAGGGAAAGTCATTGTCAAAGGATAAGATTTGACACCCACAGTTTTAACTTTCAGAGACTCATAAGAAAACTGTACCTATAACAGATCATAAAATATTCACTCACTTTAGTTAAATTCTTGTGTTTTTACTAAGGCCAATTGTCAAACCAGGATGCAGCTTTTTGCCATGAAAAATAAGGATTGTAAATATTTCATAGGAACTGCAAACATTTTACTTTATATTTTAAAAGTCAAGTCTACACTGTTAAGTGGTAGAAAATACTGATGGACCATATGCTTAGACACTGTATTGAAGTGAGGCTGGGTAATGGAATGTGATCGATACTCATCTAGAAGTCAGGGACTTGTTCCTCTAACTGCAGCTGTGCCAGCAAACAGCTGTATGACCAGAGGCAAACCATTTTATTTCTCCAGGGTCTCAACTTTGTAATATGTGAAATTTAGGTCCTGGGTTAGGCAAACTCTTAGATGTTTTTCATTTCTGAATATTTTTGAACTTCATGGTTCTGAACAGAAGATACTATGTTAGCTAGGTGAAATAAACCTTTCTGAATGGATCTTGTTATATTGTATTTGACTTGAATACAACTTCAAAATGGAAATTCATTTATTAAAACTAAATCAGAAAAATTCGTAAATTCCTTACCTCTACAATTCCTATTTTTCCATCATCTCTTTGCCCATACTGATCCACGAAAGTTTTCATTTCAGGTGATAACTCCTAAAATTATATAAAAGCAGGTAAGAAGTTTGTAAAAAAAAAAAAATACCCAGTTATGCTTGTGATGGTGTTAATAACTTACAGCAAAGGAAAATGAAAATTAGAACCATTTAGAATTATGCATACTGATGAACTAGTCTCATAAAAATTAAAGGCATAACTGATACACAGTATTTATTCGTTCCAAATAAAAGAGTTATAATCATGATGATCATTTCTCAATTACTATGATTTATCTTCTATTATTAATTTTGAGAATATGCTACCCTTTGAAAGCGTAGTCAGAATCATTCCATTTGTAACTTTGAGTGAATTTAAATATAATCACTATCAATATACTTTAAACATTGCTTGCTTCAGTAAAGATTATCTTGTATTGCTATACTATCTCATAACATTTTTCTTATTCTAACATAATGTTTTATCTATAAAAAGTAATACATATTTTCAATTTGAACAAGCAAAAAGTGTGAATGTTAAGGAGTAACTCACTGTAAGCAAAGATTGTTTTAAGCATAAAAGAGGAATTCATCAATTAAATACATTTAAAAATTAAGTAGAGAGCTATGAACTATAAACTAGTGATCTGAACATAGAGCTGGTATTCAGGAGGTTTAGTTTTTACCCTTGGGTCTCCAACATAGCCCATTTAAAATAGCCCTGTTGCATTAACTGAAGCCTATTTAAAATAGGTCAGCCCTTACTAATGTTCTATTCTATGTCCTTGGGAAAGCAAATTAAGGTCTCAGTTTTCATCGTAGCTAACAAGATGGTGGTATTATCTACCACACAGGATTGCTCTGGGGATAGATAGGTTAATATAATTTAAGGGCTATATTGAGACTAAATATCATTTTTGCTAGTATTTACAAATCTGTTTGGAAAATGTAAACATCTTTAGTAGAACTAAGATAATAAATAGTAATAAAGCAATTTAATTATATTTTGTCTTTAAAAATACTTACTGTAGATAACTTACAATTTGTATTTACTGAATACTGGGAATATTAGTTCCTGCTTTTTTTTTTTTTTTACATATACCTTAACATAAACAAAAACCAAAGCATCTGTCCTTAAATTTTAAAATGGCGTAATGCCACTAGTTTAAGCAGCAGACTTGACATTTAGTTTGTGAAGTTTCTGACAAGTATGTCAAAATCTATTTTTAAACAGTGCAAAACATATAATCATCATCACGACCAATTATAAGTGTATAAAAATGAGTGCAAATATGAAGACCAAGCACTACGTTTAGTGCAAAAGGATAGTTTCTGAAAATATATTGCATTGTTAAATTTCATTATTGTTATATTCACCTAGTGAAAATTTGGAAATTCATGTTATTAATATGAAAAGCTGAACAATGTAAATTGTATTTACAATCCAGAAAAATGCTAATAAGGTATTAAGCAGCTTGTTATGATTCTATAACTATGCTTGTTTACTATTATTACTTTATAGTCTAATAATTGGAGCTTTGAATATTCCAAAAAAGAGAAAAAATAATTAAACTCTAAATCTCCAACATGAAGACATTGTTTACAAAAAGGTACAAATAGTAAAGTAAAAGGAAGAAGAGAAAAAAAATTTTTTTAAGTTCATGAATATTTAAATTTCTAGGATGAAAATAAATCTCAATATTAAAATCACTTCTGGAAAAATTGAAATATATTCATTTAGCTGCTGGAAGCATCTTCCAAGGTTTTAATTCTAAATTTTATGGAAAGTAAGACTTTTCCAACTGGATTTTTAAACAGGTATTTTTAAATAAGGAAGATACTTGCTTTTATTAGATTAGCCAAAGATACATCGAGTTATAATGACAGTGTTGCATAAATTTATTTACATGGCAATATATAAGATATGGGGAGGGTAGAGAGTATATAAAATATTTTAATGCTACTTTATTCCATTCTGTTACGCTTTTAGATTTATATAATATTAAATCTGGGTAAAACAATCCCTAGAGCACAATCTAGTTTAAAATCAATTTGGTCAATGATTTTTGTAACTGATAGTTCTGAGTTCTGTAATGAATTATAATACATTTAGAGCCCTCTGGGATTCTTTTGAATATGCTGAACACAGATGTATATTACACAATTTTCAATTTAGATGGGGCAAAGAGATAATTCTATTATTAAACTTTACATATATCACTCAATATTAGAGGTGATGATCTGCTGTATGATATACATCATTGGTAATGTAAAATCTCTTTCTAAACATAGTCAAAAAGGCCAAAGACCATTAATATGTAACTCATCCCAATTCAAGACTGCCTTCTCAGACCGTGTTACATAAACCTCAGCAGAGTAGTACAATTTTTAACCCATTTTCCTCTAGACAACTATCTCATCTATGTTTAGAAACTGATTATATTTTATTTTTATGCGGACGACATGTTTTCTTAACAGGTTAACTTATGCCCAAAGGGAGTCATTTACAATTATTAAGAATTGTCATTTGTTTAATTAACTAATGGCTTAAATAATCAACACAGCTCATTTTCAAAACACCATCAATTGCTTCCTATCAGAGTATCACTTCACTTTTTTTTTTAAACAATACACGAAATTAAAAAAATTGTTTTACTTTTTACTTCTCTACCTTTTGGGTTTCTTGCTTTCAACAGAAGTGAAGACCTTTTCTTGCTAAATTCAGTTACGTTTCAAGTTGGGCAACTTTCCCTTAGTGAGGAGGGTCAAGACAGGATGTTTTCTCATCTCCCCAACTACATCAACATCACAACAATAATAATTGGTGATAGACTAAGAGATCCATAATCTGCAGATCTGTTTTTTGACCACCAAGGGGCAGAAATGCATTTCCACCCCCTTATTTTTCACACAGTAAAAGAGAAGTTAAAAATTACCTAATCAAACTCAATCGCAGATGTGGTGATCCGCTAAAGAATCTCACGTACCCACACTTTCCTTTGAAGATCTATTAAAGCAAATACTAGTATAGAATATATATATTTAAAGCTCCGATTTCAGATAGCAAGGGTTTTCCCTTTAGAAAATCTCTTTCTCGCTGTCTCTGCTTCTCCCTCTTTCCTCCCTTCTTCTGTCCCTCCCTCTCCCACCCTCTCTCTGTCTCATTCCCCCTTCCCCTCTCTCCCTATGCGAGTAGGAAAACTGTTCCTTCCATTCGCAGTCAATAAACGTTTACATAACCCAGAAAGCGCTTTACCCTGCTGGCTTTTTGTGAAAACACAAGAATGTTTTAATTTGGGGATTGAAGGTCTTTTTTTCCCTCTTTCGCCAGCTCGAACCTACCAATCCAGCCTTCTTCCGCGCCTGCTGGAGCTCCTGGATCAAGTTCTGCAGCTCCTTTCCTTCCAGGTAACCACTTCCTGCAAAGACAAAGAGGCACCCAGATGTCAGATAACTCATTCCGAGTGTCTTTCCCGTTCACTTTCCAAGAGAGTTATCTTTCTGGCGACCCGAGACGCTCGCTCTTGCCTGGACATTGATTAACCAGCAAAGCATATAGACACGGCAGCGCTCCCTTCCTGGAGTATCAAACTTTAGATCCACTGAGGACAAAGGAGGATGGTTGGGGTGCTGAGCGCAGCCACAGAAACTTTGGGGGGACAGTGTCCCCCAATTTCTGCGCTCTCTCTCCTTCTACCATTACAGTTCCTGGAAAGACAAGTTTACGGTTTTGGGATTACGGTGGAAACAATTTAAACTTTCAGAGTGAGGGTTTGGCGGCCAGTCGGGGAGATAAGAAGATAAGATTAGACCTAAGGGGGAAGAAGTAAAGAATAGAAAGGAGGGATAATGGGATCAGGAGGCTCAAAGGAGGGCAAAGAATGGGAAGGGGCATGGAAAAAGGTCTGGAAACAGATAAAAAGAGAGAAGATAATCACCGTCAGCGTCGAAATGAAGCCAGATCTCGAAAAACTGTGAGGCTGTGATGAGGGATGATTGCAGGTGGGATTCTGCCATTGTACAGCGGGGTGTGTGCCTGGGTGTGTGGATATGCGTGTGCGTGTGTCCGCGCGAGAGGGGTGTGAGCCAAAGCTCAGCGTGTGCGCGAGTCAGGGCTGCGGAGGGAGACCTGGGCGCGGGCGCTGCCGGGCGCTGTCCTCGGTGCTGCTCAGCTCAGCGTTCCTCCAGAGTTCTCTCCCGACACCCCGCACCCAGTTCTCAGTATTTATCCCGACGGCCCCAAGCCGGGCCACGCCTCCTCCAGCCTCCCATTCCTCACTCTCCGCCTCTTGCTGTCACCAACCTTCTTCCCCTCCCTTCCAGTTTTCTGCTCTGTTCCCAGGAAAGCTAGCTGGAGCCGGAGTTTGGGCTTGTTGGAAGCAGCAGGTGGTGGGAGATCCTTTGCTCAGAGGTTGGATGCTGAAAACAGAGGCTCATTTCCCCCTACATTCTCCTAGTCCAGGAAGAATCTTATTCCTGAATATTATAGTAAAACTCTTGTTACTTGGAGAGGTTTTAATTTTCAGGTAGAAGCGGAAAGCTGATGACGGGTAGAATCACATAAATGATTATTATATTCATGTGTGATTTCTCCAAGACTTTTCAGTATTTGTTTGGAAAAAAAAAAAAGCCTGTGAAAGCTTGGCGCACATTAGAACAATTTGATTAATGTATTCAATGACTTGATTGCTATCAGTACTCAATTTTGTGCCATCAGATCAATATTTCTTAAGATGGTTTATATGAACTAACCTTGCCAACGTGAAAAGTGATATTATGGTTTTCTTTCCAGCTTGAAGTAGAATTGTAATTGGAAAGTGATACAGTTAAATTATAAAACCCTAAAATCTTAGAGAAGGAAGTTATCTTACAGGTACTAGAGTTTACTGCCTTTGAATTTAGAAAGTGAGTAAACTAAAAGAGAAAGGAAGTATATAACCCAGGTTTATAAGTAGGTACATTAGTGCTACCACTGCAGCCTCATTCAGTGGTCTTAACACACATACGTCTCCTTTCTATGCTAAGCAATCCCTACTGGATAATTTTTCAGAAATTGGAAGTCACCATCAGAGTTGGAAAAACTATCTAAACTAAATAGATGTTATGATATATATATGTATATATGTTCTATATTATATATACATATATGTTATGCATTTTAATATAATTAATGATATATTTAGATTATTTCATATTTATGTAAATACTTCTAGAGCATTTGGCTTTGAGTTTTTAAAGACTCAAAAATGTATCCCCAATGTCTAATTACAGTCCACTAAAAAGGTATCCCAAATGTCTAATTACAATAGTACTATAAAAAATGAAGGAACAAGAGAAAATCTACACATAATCAATATAAGCTTAAAGTGAGTCAAAATGAATTTACCAAGTTCTGTATTCTTTACATTGTGTAGTTGAGTTTTGGAACCCTCAAATTTATGTTTTTGAGTTTATGGCTCTATCCAGTACTAGATTTGTGGAGTTTTTTATAAGTATCTTTTTAAGAGATCCATTAATTTGAAGTTGGCCTATTTCAATAATCTTCTCAATGGAATCCTCACTTTCATAGTACTTTGCAGTTCATATATTATTTTTACATCAGATACCTCATCTGATTCTAACAGATTGTCCTATTGGTCATCATATTAGTGGCCAGGATCTCTGTGTGAAAAATATTGTGTGTGAACTTGGAAGCCAATGCTAGAGAATAAACTTTGAAGAGAGGGTGAGATCACGATGACTATGGAGTGATTTGAAGAAGAACCCCTACCCTTGCTAGATTTGACAGAGCTAACAATGCCTAGACTTTGGATACAGTTCTGAGTTAAAGGAAAATGCTAGGATAGGAATACAGACCGAACAAACTGATGAAAAAAAGAGCAACATTTCTTCTATTTAAAAAAATAATAATTACAATGAATTTTCTTTCTTTTTCTTTTTTTTTTTTTGATATTTGTATCCATAATGGCTTTTTATCTACTTTCCTCCCCCAGCAAATAATTATCCACGCCCCTCCCTCCTGTTTCACTCTTTTTTTAAATTTTATTTTATTATTATTATTTTTTTTATTGCATTTTAGGTTTTGGGGTACATGTGAAGAACATGCAAGATTGTTGCATAGGTACACACATGGCGTGTGGTTTGCTGCCTTCCGTCCCCTCACCTGTATCTGTCATTTCTCCCCATGCTATCTCTTCCCACCTCCCCACCCCCCCGTCCCTCCCCCATTTCCCCGCAACGGACCCCAGTGTGTAGTGCTCCCCTCCCTGTGTCCATGTGTTCTCATTGTTCAACACCCGCCTATGAGTGAGAATATACGGTGTTTGATTTTCTGCTCTTGTGTCAGTTTGCTGAGAATGATGGTTTCCAGGTTCATCCATGTCCCTACAAAGGACGTGAACTCCTCGTTTTTGATGGCTGCATAATATTCCATGGTGTATATGTACCACATTTTCCCTATCCAGTCTATCATCGTTGGGCATTTGGGTTGGTTCCACTTCTTTGCTATTGTAAACAGTGCTGCAATGAACATTCGTGTGCACGTGTCCTTGTAGTAGAATGATTTATAATCCTTTGGATATATACCTAGTAATGGGATTGCTGGGTCAAATGGGATTTCTATTTTTAGGTCATTGAGGAATCGCCACACTGTCTTCCACAATGGTTGAATTAATTTACATTCCCACCAACAGTGTAAAAGTGTTCCTATTTCTCCACATCCTCTCCAGCATCTGTTGTTTCCAGATTTTTTAATGATCGCCATTCTAACTGGTGTGAGATGGTATCTCAATGTGGTTTTGATTTGCATTTCTCTGATGACCAGTGATGATGAGCATTTTTTCATATGTTTGTTGGCCTCCTGTATGTCTTCTTTTGTAAAGTATCTGTTCATATCCTTTGCCCATTTTTGAATGGGCTTGTTTGTTTTTTTCTTATAGATCTGCTTTAGTTCTTTGAATTTTCTTTCTTAAAAGAGACCACACACAGTGGTACAAATTCCTAAACATTTCCACCATAATCTTTTTGTTTTTTAGAATTTTATCTTAAATTCCAAAAGTATTACAAGACAATTTGTAAAAGTTAAAAATATGTATATGAAAGTAATCTTTTTTCTTATTCATTTTCCTGAAGCTATGGCAACTTCCAAATTTCCATGTAGGAATGTATAGGTGTTGTGACTTGAGGGAGAGTGAGAAATAAACGGGAGACTTCTTGGAGCTTTGTGCAAATAGCAAGCACACATTTTTGTTTGCGTGCTTCTTTTTATGTTTATATGGAGTGGTTTTTGAAGGAATTAATGTAGACTATGGAGATCTAAAGTACCTGTTAGTGCTGCCCCTACCATGAGGTAATCAATATTAAAAGCTCCATGCTTATGCAAATATACAAATCCACATCTAAAGGTTTTTTTGTTGTTGTTTGGTTTTACAGAAAAGTGACTATGTTCTCATATTATTCTCCAACTTTTTATCATTAATTCAAGGAGATTCCTCCAGTATTAACATCAACATCTAATTTATGTTTTTTATAGTTTAATAATATTTTATTTTATTAATTATAATTATAGATATTCAGATTTATTTCTAGTATTACCCTGTGACACACAATGCTGCAATAAACACCTTTATACGTTTATATGAGATATACATGTTACTGATTATGACAAGGGAAAGTCCCAAAAGTAGTATTGTTAGTTAATAGAATGCATATTTTAGATTTTAATACACATTTCCAAATTATTTCCTCCATTTTGTAGCAATTTACACTCCAATGTCTAAAGTCTGAGGATGATTTATCATCATTAACTATGAATGTTATTGCTTTTTAAACTTTATGCTAATCTAATAAGTAAAAAATAGATTGTTATTGTTGCTTTAATTTTCATTCACTATTAATTCTTAAAATTTACCTTTTGATTTTCTAAGGTGAAATTGTTATTCTTCAGATATTTTTTTAATGGCAGAAATATAATTTTATAAAAAGTGTTTTTCCTTAAAATTGTTATTGGTACTAGACTGTCACTTAAAATCAATATCTTTTTTTCAGATTATATTTTGGGGCATTTCTAGATTAAATTATACTTTATATTACTAGTAAAGAACTGTATGCTACAGATCAATAGATTTGAGGGAATTTGAGGAATATTTCTTCTCTCGTTCATTAACTAGTTAGGAAAGACCTTCTTAAGGGCTCAGGAATGTTTTAATTTCTAGGCTTCTGGGAGAACTACAAATGCTTTCAATAATAAGAAGATTTTTCCATAAGATTGGAACTTCTAAAAACAGCACTGCAAACAAAGCATTTTTATGACTTGCTTTATAGGCTTCATTACACAACATTAAGGTAAATGGGTTCATAATCCAATATTGACACAAAAGTAGAAGCAATTTATGTTTCAAAAAAAGTATCTGGGGTAATTAAACTGCATTTCCTGTTTCATGTTACTGAATTACCGCATCTCCATTCATATTCAGGCTACCACAGTTCTAATTCACTATGCAAACTGGAAGTCTTAGAACTTCCCTGGTTTAATGAATGCTTTCTTAGCCTCCATTCAGAAAAAACAACTCCCCAAAATATTTTACTATGGGTTTAATTGCATGAGGAATATAATACATCACTCTCTCTTGGTGTCCTAGCCCCTCACAAAGGTGTCCTTAATAGATTAATGAAGCCTGCTGGGGGAGTTCACGGTTTTACCTACAGTGTTCTCGGAAAGATCCCTCATCAGCATGATATTGCCATTTGAAGAACTTTTCTCACAAAGCGAGGGATTTGCATAGATTTAGTCAGAGAACCCTGTCCCCTGGGCTGGCTAGGAAAATAATTATATCATTTTGGGTGCCAGAGGCTTTTTTAAAACAAGAACTGACCAAATGTAGCTCATATAGGGCACCGTAGAAAGTCTTGGAAACAATATGTGGCAAACTGTGGACTGAAATAGGAGAGTGTGGCTTGGTGGAGCTGCCTGCAAGTATTTGCAAGGCTTACATAAGAAGAGGGGGCAGATTTTCTCAGAGACACCAGAGGTGACTTTTAATGCCCTTTAAAAAATATATATGTGTATATATATATACTTCTCAAGTTTGAGGTCTTCTACAAGAATGGGTACTATGGGTACTACTGCATGAATGATGCAATTCCCCCATAAGAACACTCATTCACTCACTCAGAAATATTTATTGACTACAGTATATTATTCAGGATGCCACAATGTTAAGCAAG